CGGGAGAAGGCAGTCAAGTTTAATGGAATATAGCAGCTTAGAGTTCAAAGGCTCCACAGTAGGGCCTGTCAAGGGTAGGCCGCGTGATGGAGATGTTTCCAGAAGCTTTATGACGCTGGAGTAATTTCTCCCTGCTTCTTTCCTGTTCGTTTGATGAGGGTTCGGAAGGAGCCTGTTGTTCGGGGGGGCCATTAGTCAAGGAAGCAGATTCCCTGCAACGTTTCTCTAGTGATTCAGCTTTAATCAGATGCATCGACTGGAGCATCTGATTCTCTCTACCTTCTTTCTTTATATACCACCCCCTCCTGCTGTTTCTCTGGTCCCTCATGTCACCCAATAGCTCCTCCTGTACCATTCCCACCACCGAAGCAGTTGCTATTCAGTCCACATCAGATGGTGCTGAAGAAAGAGCCATTGTCCTGCCCTGCTCTTATCTATTGATTGGAAAGCCGAGAGGGGAGAATAAGCGGCATTGATTACCACACTGGGTGAAGTAGCTGGGCAGGACGTCTGGTAAGAAAAGACGGCATTCTTCACCCCTGGCTGCCCCGCTGCTGTCAGAACGGCCTCCACCGCCACTCCACCTATCCCGGCCCCTCTCACCCCGGCCCTGCCACTGCCCCCCCCCCCCCCTCCTGCCTCCCCCTCACCTCGCCTCCTTTCTTGATTTGCCAAGGTGGTTCTCCCCCTCCTCTCTTTCTCTCTCACTGTTTTATGCTGATTGTTATCTTTGCTTGTGAAATGTATAGCTGAGTGCAGGCTCTGAACAGAAGCTCTGGCCTTTCACACACTCCCCGAGCTGCAGAGGCTGCCTCACCTTTGCCTCCACCCGACCCCTCCAGTCTCAAGTAAAGTCACCGACTCTGGATTTGGTTTCCAGCTTTCATGTCGTTTTTGGTGCTTTTTTTATTTCCTTCCCTCCCATGTTCCTTGAACTCAACTTACTTTTCTCAAGTCACTCAGTTGATTTCTGTGCTCCTGAGGTTTTAAGAGCTGCATGATAGAATATTTTCCTGGAAGCACAGGCTCCATTAAACTTCCTCTCTCATGTTGGAGGTCTGTCCGCTCTTGTACGGTCTGCTGAGCTAACACAGTGCTGCTGAGTAGGAGGAAGCATTCTCCAGCTTCTATCTGTCTCTCTGCCTCTTATCCTTTATGTAAATACTGCATATTGAAGACACATTCACTCAGATCAGTGTTTATCCAAGTAATGAATCAGTCTGGCACTGTGCAAAAGCCTTTTGATGCACAAGACATTTTTGCAGTTGGCAAGAGATCAAGGACTGAATCCTTTTTATTAGAAGATGTTTTAAGTGTTGTTTGAAAAAAAAACGATATCCTGTGCAGGGCAGACGGTGTTGCGTGCATTATCAAGTCGTTCTCATTGCGGTTGGTTAAGTTCCAGGTGTTCGCTATTAGAGCGGCTGTCAGCAGCCAAGCCAAGCCTTTATTGACATGTTTGCAATGACTAGAAAGACCAACGCACTCTGTATGGGAAGAAAAATGCATGTTCACGTCATTACAAATCAATACACAATTACATTATACTTCTGGCAACCTTTTGTAGTGTGTTTTTCTTTCTTCAGAAAATATTTCTATCCACGGATGCCTGCACGTCCGATCAACAGTTCATTAACCCGCTCACATGGTTTTGAAACATGTCTATATTTAGTCTGAATCACGAGAATGCCTCCTATTGAATGTGCCCCCTTTCTCTTAAAATAATCCATCACCAAATTGAGCAAAGAAAAACAGAGCTAATTCTGAGAGTCGCCAGGCCTCCTCCTCCTCCTCCTCTTCCTGAGCTATGAAAGATCCCATTCACACATGGAGCTTGGCTTTAATAAGGAGCGCCGTACCCACTCTGAATTATGGGAAAGCCCATGTGGTCATGTGTATCATTTTCTTATTTACAAGCCAGTTTACAATTCTAACAATTTGAGTAAATACCCACTCAACAGTTTGTCATAATTGTGTAAGATTGCAATTCATCAAAGCCTTTGTAGAGGAACATAATGCTTAGTTCAGCAGCATAAAGGGGCCTCAGAAGACCAAAGCTAAAACAGCAGAGAGAAGTGCAGCTATGTATCTTACAATCAAGCCGATAAGGCAACCATTTCTCTCAGAATTTGTTTTTCTTTTACAGAGAGAAAAAGTGTGTGGTAGTTTCCGAGCTTTTCAACTCCAAGGTTAAGAGAACCTGTCCTTGAGAAGGAGGAGGAGGAGGAGGAGGAAGAGGAGGAGGAAGAGGAGGAGGTTGAGGAGGAGGATGAGGAGGAGGATGAGGAGGAGGAGAGTCCCTATTGAAGAAAGGATGGTGGTCATGCACACAGCACAAATACTTATTAAGTTACTCAGACGGTGTCCTTGATTTCAGCACCTCTTCATGCCTTGTTTTTCAAAAGGACTTCAAAGGTTTTTTAAGAGCGGAGATGGAGGGAGGAAATCATTTGTTGCACATTCCTTGGACTTGGAGCAAAATCCACATTTCTTCAGGAGTTGTACTAAATGACCAAACTTCAAGATAACATAGACCTTTATCACAATGAAAGAAACAGTTATTATCATACTTGTACCAAAACAGGAAATCAAGCCAAAGTTGCATTTCATCCGACCATTTATATGCAAAAACCTTCAGTGTTAAGAAGCATACAAATACATTTAAATAAGGATCTGAGCTAGAAAGCCAAGGTTAAGTTTGTAGTTAGTGCCAGATGCCCTGCAACTAACACTGCAGAGATATGTTGTGCACCCTTTTCTGTGTCTATGCTGGGTCAATGTGTTTTGACATTTTGCTTTAGTTACATCTTTGAAATGAATCAGGCCTTGTTTTTGTGTGTGTCAATGAATCCAGAAGAAGCACATGGCTAAGTGGCTTGCGGGACCATAAGTCAAGAGAGATAACTGAGGCCTTTTTGTTCAAGATTTGGCAGAAATGTATTTGAGTTTTTACAAGGCGTTTCAGTCTTTTCAGGATCAATTCAGTCCGAATGAGCTCCCGCAGCAGCGAGCCAAGGCTGTGACCAGTCGGTGTTGTTAAAGCGGAGACTGGAGCTAGACACTGAGAGCCTCTGTTCAGCTGTCCTGGTAGCAGAGGAGTGAGATATGGGCCAGCTGACAACAGCCAAAAAAACTGTGGTCGCGTTTTTCTCCACAGACATAAACAATGACACTTCCAATTTCCTGTGCATGCTGCGGACCAGGAAAGGCCTTTCGCAGAGAGGAAGGAAAAACTCTGAGTTTGTGTGTGTGTTCATGCATGGCTGAGAAAAACATAGACACAAAAAAGGACGGAGGTTTCATTGGTTTTACGCTCAAGTGGCGCCTTTTTTCCACACAGTTCTGTGCCATGACTTATAAATCATAACTCGCTTTTTGAAAATATGACTGAGTCCAGCTTTTTCAGCATTAAAGGTCACCGGCCCAGCAGTCCAGATGTTGTACCTGCAGCTAAATACATCTGTTGGCAATATGAAGAATATAACAGGCCAGATGGACTGACCTGTGTCGCCTCCCCCACTGCAGCCCCATCAGTATAATGATCGTTTGTTTACCATATGTGTGAAATGCAGCAAAGGAATGTGTGTGTGTGTGTTTGAGCGTGTGTATATGTTTCAGGAGAGGCCATGTGTACTTACCCCCCCTCCCCATTGTTTTTACTGCTACCAGGCCGGCCATTTGTTCTGAGGCACAGACTGTGTGCTTTTGGAGGCTGCTGCAGCTATAGGGTTCTGTTGCATTACCTCCCCCTCTTTCACTCCCCCGATCTCCTGTTTCTCTTCCGTGTCTCGTCTGCTCAGTAATTCAGGGTTTTGTTTTTGGTTGGGGGTTAGTTGAGCGCCCCGGTGCTGAGCGAGCAGCGGCGCAGGCCTCCTAACACCATCACAGGGTGTTTCTGCCCGCTCCACTTCACCAGATCTGAGGGAGCAGACCTGAGCCAATTAGGCGCAGGGAGAACAGGCTGCTGTCCGTCTCTCTGCGACCCGCCCCCCCTCATCGCTTTGATCTCTTGCACGCAAAACCAGAGCCAGAACACTTTGCCCTCTCTGTGCAGGCAGTGGACGGCTGGGCTTGTCCAATTATTACAATCTGGTTTCAACATTTCTGGCTAATCAGACAAAAAGATGACAAATTACCTCAATCTCATTCCATCTGCCCACATCCGAGCTGTTTTTAGTCCGAGAAATCAGGATACTTTATTACATTTTTCTTGATTCCAGTACACTTTTGTGAGCCAAGCAGCTCTGGTGTTTAAAACATTATTTCTGCAATGTCACTTGGTTTCAAAAAAGTTTGGTAATATATTTTTAAATGTTGGATATGAAAGAGGCGCCACTCTGACTACACCTAAAACTTACAATGACTACTTCCTCCTCAATCATGCTTATTTCATCAAGTCATTTTTCCAGTGACCTGCCTGATATTCTTACCCCATTGTTTTGCCAGCCACTTATTGGTAAGGTGAGCTTTCACCAAATGTAGGCCTGAATAGTAAAGCGCTTTTCAATGGCGACCTCAATGTAATGTCGTTTAAATTTGTTTTTCTTGAACTGGGAAAAGGAGAAAGAAATTGATTCAAAATTCAGTCTTGACCTTAAACAGCAGTTGGTAAAACAATTTCACCATAGGGTCTTTCAGCAGCTGTTGTGAAGCTTTCACGATCTTCATTAGCAGATGGAGTTTTCCAGATGTCATGAAAGTGCACATAGATGTTCAAATTTCCTTTCCTATGTGCACTTAATGGACTTCTCATCCATTTCGGCCTAAACGTTAAGATCAAAGCCGCGAAACAGCTACTGAATCCAGTTTTTGGTTTTTCAACCAGAAAAAAAAACATCACTACCAAACATTAGTGATTCTTCTTGAAAATGTATTCCTAACTTTAACACCCTTTTACTGAACTGGTCACAACTGGAATAAGTAATACTTGGAAAAACCTGCATTGTTAAAAAAGGTCAATAATTGGTTTTACAGTCTTCACCATTTGTGTGTGTCCTCAGGTCCTCCGAGGGTGTCTGAGAATGTCTCTCACAGACAGATGGCTCGGCTCGGGAGCGACATCAAGCTGCCCTGCCCGGTGGAAGGAGACCCTCCGCCCCTCATAATGTGGACCAAAGATGGGCGCAACATCCACAGCGGCTGGATCCGTTTCCGTATCCTCCGCATGGGCCTGAAGATCAAGGAGGTGGAGGCGGACGACACGGGGACCTACATCTGCAAAGCCACCAACGGCTTCGGGAGCGTTAACATCAACTACACCCTTATCGTCATCGGTGAGTGCAGATTGGCCCTGCTGTGTGTATCACATTAGAGACTTTGTATCACCTGTTGCTCTGCAGGTTCCTGAGATGAGATCATCGAGGGTCGTAAAAGATGTCACTCTTGTTAAAAATTCAAGCTCGATCCAGCATCTATAAAACATGAAGTCACCTGTCGGGTAACTCAAACCAGCCGTGAGTCAATCCCCTGATTCGTACGATACTGTAGGACCACATCATCTTTCTGTTTTGAAGCCGTATTTATTACACTTTCCCGCAGGCTAAAACAAATCTCACAACACTTCAAATGTTACGAGTCAGCATTGCTCACAGAGGTCGAGGTCTAAAACAAGTGGATTTATAGAGCTTTAGCGCTTGATCCCCTCATCTATTGTATGTGGTGCAGCCCCTACCTCTCCCTGCCCAAAGTCAACAGCGGCATGGGATATTGTTTCATACTACTTCATCCTCAGCGACTCAAATGGATCTCAAGCTCTTCCCTTTCCTCAGGCTACACTCTGTGGAGGCAGGAGGTCTGCAGCTCTGCAATAAGAAACACATTCAGTGTAATAGTGGCGGTCTGTCTTCGGACTCTCACACAGCTTTCGAGCGGGGCCTGGAGGATTAGGCCACGGTTTGACCCAGTGTGTTACTCGTTTGTGCGTACAGTGCTTTCCCTCAGCGCTACAGCAGAACATGATGAATGAGCGGAGTGGAGCGTGAAGGCTGTGTTTAGTCTAATTACTCTAAGATGCCTAATTAGGGCCAGAGTCTCCGCGCTCGCTCCCTCCCTGTCTCTCTCGGCTGCCTGGTCTTGTGACAGCCAGTCTGCAGAAGAAGAGCCATAATCAGGCAGATGTGAAAAACACAGAGTGCCGTGCTTTCTGTAGTAAAGCATGCTCATGAGATGGGAATAGTCTGGACCAAAGTTTATTTTAGGGTCCCCCTCAATATGAAGTTCAAAGAGAGGGTGTCTGCTGATTGTGCTAAAATGAAAGGCTGCAGATGAAGGAACGCAGCCAGCCATAATGTCAAGGTTCATACTACAGTTGAGCTATATCAAAGTCAGACGTGGCTATGTCTGTGTCTGCGTTGCACTTAAAGGGCATCCTGAGTTTGTATGTGCGCTAAACATATGTTGAGTAACACACGCCAAATCAATCATGGGATGGATGTCAACCAACATGTACATTTCATTTGGTTTCAAGCTCTCCTGATTGAACACTGTCGCCATCCTCGGTGCGTTATGACGGGATGCGGACAGTTCATTTAGATTATTTGTATGGAGTGAATGGGAATAGAACCAAAAAAGCAGCCTCACATTATTGCTGCATTCATAGGGTTTATGTGTAAATGAACAGTAACAACTAGCCTCAGTCTTTATACAGACCTAATGGTACCTGAGAAAGAGTTTGTGAAATCATAGGCAAAATATCTTCTAAATAAATACAGTGCATGCACATGGTACTTTCAGATTAAATAATGATTTAAAATTGAGACATATGGGAAAATAAGAATGAGAAACACAGGTTGAGCCAATTCATCTCAGTGATAGATAACTTTCTCCCAGTGTGTTTTTAGTGGGACAGATTATTTGTCTGGTTTGGCTTCTGCTGCAGTGCGAAGAGGTTTAAAAGACAGTTTGAGACTGATGTGATGTGAATCGCTGGCAGTTTAGTTCAACCTGAGTGCTTACGTTCCCGATTGGTGATTACGTTTGAACAAAAATCTGGTGGAAATATTCTTCCAAGAAGGTTTTGTTTTGGCCCTTTATGGAGTTACCTAGAGACCCTTCTGGCCTCACTCTTGATCCTGATTTGGTTTGTTCCAATTCGTAGTTGTCCTCTGAGTGCGTCACACACTGACTGTAGACATCCAGCAGCCAGTATGTAACTCACCCCTCCCCTCTTTCTGCTTTCTTGTCCATCATCCCATTAGATCCTGGCGAGCATCACCACAGGGTTTGTTTTTATAGATAATTGTTCCATCAGGGCTGCATTACATTCTGGGTGCCTTTTTTGCCACAAAGATTAGGGGGCCTCATTGTCAAAATACTTCCAGGATTGAAGTAATACAGCCAAATAGTCTGCAATTATCATGAGCAACACTTTCCATTCAAGCTGAATACCCTAATTGTAAACCATTTGCATTTAGTTGCATGCAGTTAACTGCAGTGACCTGCTGAGAGGCTTATTATGTTTCTTCAAAAGATCAGAGCAGAGAGATTATTTATTTCAAATGCCGTAAATGGAGGGTGACTCCCAGCATAGCTCCACATACAGTATCTATCATGTCAGTTTATTATTTGTACTGGATCACAGAGTGAAAAAGTAAGAGAAGAGACTGCTGTCTGTTGTATTGCTGGTCAGGGGGGACAGGTCGATGAAACCATGGCAGCTGTTCAAGTTCAAGGCCCAACGTGGGGAGAGCAGAACTTTTTAAACCTTGCCTGAGATCCAGCAGAGAAGCCAAGAGGATAAGATAAAGAGACAGCGAAGACGTAAAATGAGATTGGAAGTGAAAGAGTGAAGGGTTATGTAGCAGGGTGATGTAAGGAGGAAGGAGGGGAGGGGGGGGGGGGGGGGTCCACTTGGAGAGATATCCCTCCTCCCATCTGCCAGTGGACTGCCTGTCCTCCCCTGAGCTATCTGAAGAATCTGGTCAGTCAGTGCAACATGGCGCCTCCTCAATCCCTCCAGCTGGCTGTTTGGGCCCTGTTTGGGGTGGTCTCCTGACAACTGGCCCCATCACCTCCCAGCACCCCCCACCCCCCACCAGGACGGAGCAATGCTTGCAGCAACCTCAGCTGCTCAGTTTACAGCAGAATGCACATTAGCATTAAGATGGGATTGTCATATTAACATGTACAGGATGGGATTTTAATGTTTATGTCCGCACAGATAATATATTACAAGGCTAACACAGCACTCGTTATTCTACATGGAGGTTTTGGCTTTCGCAGGACATTTTTCATCTCGCTCCTCTCTGGAGACGCTGTTGGATAAACTGCCCTGTGTGTGACTGATCACATGTGGTAGCTGTTTGGAGGTTTCCAGAGTGTGATGCAAGGCCACTGCGCATAACTTTCCCTGGACATTACACTGTCCCCAACAACATCTTGAGCTCATTGTGACCTCCAATCATCATTCCTCTTCCTGTGATTCAGCTGGCACAGAGGCCAGCACAGAGAGTGTGTAGTGACATGTTTCCTGTCTCTGGATTTGTGAATGAAGTGGGAGGGGATGGCGTCAGACCCTAAACACTGTAGAGAGACCATGAATGGATTGAAGTTGTATGGAAGGAGGCTGATTGCATTTTAAACAATTTGATCGTGTTACTTGCATAAGCATGCACTTGAATCATGACTGATTGAATTTCCGTTTGCCTTTCGGGCCTTTGATTTTATACAGTGCATCAGGCATAAGGATTTTAGTTTGATTACCATAATAAGTTGCAGCTCTTACTTATTTTCCAGTACACTAGAACAGGCCTCTCATACATTAAGAAGCCTCTCAGTCACCTCCTTTTTGGTTTTGTTTTTGTTTTCATCCAAAAGTATCATCATATGGGAGATATGCAATGTTCTACCTCGCCCTGTCTGCCCTGTCTGCAGTCTGGTGAGCCAATAGTGGCAAGGGATAGACAATAGTGGCAAGGGATAGCTTTAACAGGACACACATATAAAGGGCACCATTGTTCCCTAGAATTGCCTAAAAGTAGAGAGGAAATAGATTCAGGAAAAAAAAAAATCCAAAAGAAAACCCCGGCAGTGTGGGACCGTGTTCTGTTTGGATTGGGAGGTTCAGGAACCAGGAGGAATGTGGAGAGCCCGAGTGAGCAACAGAGAAATATTTCTTCCAGCGCAGGCTGTTTTTTAAAGGAATGGGTTATTATAGTTGGCCAGTTAAACCCCAAATAGCCATGACATCATGGCTGGGCTCGGTGCTGCAGGGGACAAACAAAGGAGGGTTTGTACCCAGAGAACCCCGGAGAGCTTTGAGGGTTTCGGGGGGACTCGGAGGGAGGCACAACGACGGGGTTAGAAGTCACATCTGGCCTATTTACCTGACCCAATCAAACCCTGAGAGGGAATCAAGTGTGCCAAACTGAATCTAGAAAAATCCAACTTGAGGCTGCTCTGAACTAGAAATCCAAAAGAGGTACAAAAGGTGCAGAACTGGCTGGTAGTTTTCCATTTAGCAGTGGTAAAACATAGTTACCTCTCATATTGTGTCTATTCTTCCCTTGCCTTGAGGTTGGTAAGTTTAATAGAAACGCTAAAAAAAAGAGTACTATGTCTAATGTGAAGTGACTTCTCAGGAGTATCATATAACATCATTTAACAGCAGCCCTATTTGAATAATAATCTGCCTAATGTCTCTTTCTGCAGAGAGTAGCAGATACTGGCGAGGAACCCGATTTGCTCGGTCAATTCATCAACGCTTAACCCGAAAAGTCCATACGCATCACAAACCATCGATTAGGTTTCATTCCTTATATTTGCTCTAAGCCCTGTCTTAGTCCCGCTGCATGATGTCAACCAATGACATATACTCCACAGCTGTCTCCTGAAACTGGGCTTATGAAAACTGATCATATTACTTCCAAATGCTACAGAGAATGACCCGAGCATGCACCCCGCTCAGAGGAGCCTATCTATAAATGCTAAATGTACTCAAATACAGCCAAGAGCGCTTCGCTGTGACTGCGTGGTGCTGGGTCACTGCCATGAGAGCTGTGATGGTGACACTGTTAACAATTAAGAATAGGATTGTAACAATACATTAACACAGGCTTTTAAAGTAGCACTACGATATGCACAATCCCATGCAGCAAGATTTCCTTTATCTTCCCCATACAATTGCCCCTGGCTTTTTCCTTTGGTCCTCAGCTTTTGACTGACTGTTGTCCTGCTGTGTTTACAGATGACTCGGGTTCTGATAAAACTGGACCTGGTGCAGCTGATGGAGCAGAGTCTAACCTGGGTACTGATGGCTTGGCAGAAAAACTTGGTAAGAGTGGTGAATTCCATACCAGTAGTTCTCAATGTTTACTATTGACTACAAATCACATTTCAACATTTTGCAAACCATTCTGTGTGTCGTTTGGATGCATCTTCCTCTGTCAACTCAACTCATGTATTCACTGGTGAAATATGAAGCTAAATATTTCTTCTTCTGTCCCTTAAAGTGCGTCCCCGCTTCTCTCAGCCTGCTAAAATGAGAAAACGCGTGATAGCTCGACCCGTCGGCAGCTCGGTGCGGCTCAAATGCACGGCCAATGGAAACCCTCGACCGGACATCGTGTGGCTGAAGGACAACAGGCCGCTGACGGAGCAGGAGGTCGGAGAAGGCCGCCAGAAGAAGTGGACTCTAAGTCTGAAAAACTTGACACCGGAGCACAGCGGCAAATACACCTGCAGGGTCTCCAATCGGGCCGGAGAAATCAACGCCACGTATAAAGTCGAGGTCATACGTGAGTATCCCACAGATGGTATTTGATTCGTTACATAAGGACCTCTTTAAAACACAACTGGTTTATTCTTCCAAGAGTCTTATAAACATTAAAAAAACACCACCACACTCCATTAATTCTACATATTTTACAGCACACAAAAACCAACAGAGGGTCTGAGCTGTACGCATACCAAACATATTCACCTGCAGGTATAAATGCTAACAGATGAGGCCGAGGTGATTCATTTACTTGATTACTGCTGTTTGTATGAACTACTTTTGTGATCTTTTATACATTGCTGCGGGGAAATTAAAACAACGTAGTACCTGTAATTGTGGTTCTGATTTTAACCGAGGTAACCTTTAAAAAAAATCTTCTCTCTGATCTACCTACGCCTGACGTCTGATTGCGATCAGCAGGTCTTATTCATATCCTTTCTGCATGGATGAACGTGCTTGGGTAATCATGTATATGAGAAGCATATTGAGGAAGCAGGCTCGAGACTGAGGGCTTGTGCCCTGGTGTTTGCATAGGGGGAGAGAGAGAGAGAGAGAGAGAGAGAGAGAGAGAAAGAGGGCGACTGTTTAACTCGGAGACCCTCCACCCAATCTGGAGCTGATTAAAGCCCAGCTGTCTGCCAGACCAACTGACCCCCCCCCTTCTTCCCATGAGAAATGTGTGCTGTACAACCACGAGCAAAGAAAGAGAGGAAACTCAACTAATCACACATACTTCTTGTGTTACATGTGGTATTGCTCCCTCTCTGTCAATTATAAGTCCTGAGCCCGAGGCTAATAAGGGTACCGACAACTAAGACATTTTCTAGGCTGTCGTGTCAAAAAATATCCCTGTGTTTTGACAGTTTTTTTTCTCTGTGTTCCTGCAGAGAGGACCAATTCCAAGCCTATTTTGACCGGCACTCACCCGGTCAACACGACGGTAGACTACGGAGGTACCACGTCGTTCCAGTGCAAAGTGAGGAGCGACGTGAAGCCGGTTATTCAGTGGCTCAAACGCGTGGAGTCGCACGAGGAGAGTCGCTACAACTCCACCATCGAGGTAGGGGACCACCGGTTCGTGGTGCTGCCCATGGGGGAGGTGTGGTCGCGACCCGACGGCTCCTACCTCAACAAGCTGCTCATTACTCGTGCCAAGGAGGAGGACGCTGGCATGTACATCTGCTTAGGCGCCAACACCATGGGCTACAGCTTCCGCAGCGCCTTCCTCACTGTGCTGCCAGGTGAGGCCCGGGGAACACACTGTTTCCCCTACAGACACACTGCAGAGCAACACATCAGCCGCCTGGGCCAGGGTCTGTGCTATTAGTTTGTGTATTTTATGCGGATGTTTATTTTAAGGAATCTGCCTTAGTGGACATAACACAAAAACACAAGAGGGCTGTCAAACTGAAATGAAAGAGAAAAGAATCAGTGAGGACAGATGCCAACAAAGCAATGTTAACCACAGATGTTTTGTTATCATCTGTTTTATTTCAGTTTTTGATATGTTTTGGACCTGTGTTATTTTTCACCGGATAAATGAATACCTGTCAAATGAAATAGGCAGTCAAGCTATACGATCATGTTTTTTTGGGTTGAGTTATTGTTTTGTAGGACATTGTTGTAAGAAATGAAAAAAACACGACTTTTTCAGCTTTATATCATTGTAAATGCAACATATTTGATTTGACAAGGTCCACTGACTAGCTGATTGCAGAGCTGTCAGTCTCCTCTCACGGTCTTCCTCAGTCGACACATGGCCTTTGGACAGAACCCACCTCGGTAAAATGGGTTTGGCTAAATGCTGAACCAAAACATTAATCAACAAAATAATAACTTGACATGATCAATTGTTTCAGGCCTTAAAGAGACAGTAATCCTTCAATTCATATTCTTCTTTTAATGTTTTGGGTTATCTTTATCAATGTGCTGAAGATAGCAATGTCTTCCTTCTTTTTGTATATAATGGAACTAGATGGTGAACTTAGTTGTGGTAATTGAAGTTCAAATATTACAACTCACCAGCAATGTCTTTTTTTCAGAAATCATTAGCCGGTTACCCGATACGCCAAAAGCATTTATTACCATTATATTTGAGAAAAGGCAGACATCTTTACTGCCCATTTTGAAACACTTGGCAACTCAAACCACAAGCATTTAGATTGAAACATGGCACTACAGCTTAGAGGAAATGTATGTATCTTTGATTTAAGGGTGAAACTATTCCTTTGAGCATTTCAGCTGTGCAATAAACTAACTCTTGGCAACAATGGAGAGTTGTAAACCTGTTCTGATTTTTATTTTTGGCCTTCTTCTTTTTGCAGACACGAAGCCTCCCATCATGCCTATGTTCTCGCCGACCTCCAGCTCCCTCCCCTGGCCCGTCATCATCGGCATCCCTGCTGGAATAGTGTTCATCTTTGGCACCGTGCTGCTGTGGTTCTGCCAGAGCAGAAAGCACTGCCCCCCTCCATCGGCAGCAGCTGCTCCTGCACAGGTCCTGCAGCAGGGCTCCCACCGGCTGCCGTACCGAGAGAGGGAGCGGGGATGCGTGGCTGCCTCCTCCAGCTCCTGCAGCCCAGAGAAAGACTGCATGAGCTCCATGAACTATGAGGAGTACCTGGCGCAGCAGCAGCTCCTCCTCGCACAGGGAGGAACGACAATCCCCCCTAAAATCTACCCCAAAATCTACACTGACATTCACACGCACACCCACTCCCACGTGGACGGGAAAGTACATCAGCATCAACACATTCATTTTCAGTGTTAGCCTCGGTGCCAAAGAGGGACAATGAGCTCTGGGACTGAACAGCGGCTCCCTAACACTTGGCATTACTCTTTAAAGACTTCACGTAGCTGGAGTGTGTGCATGTGCGCAAAAAAACAGTGGCCAGTGGCACGTACTTTGTGTTTTTACATCCAAACTTCCATATTTGGTGCTTATTTGTGACCTGTCAGATTCTCACACCACTAAAAATCCATGAATCCTTGTTGTGCACTTAATACAAAAAGGACAAGGACGTTTTTTGCGTGTGAGTTTAACCGCAGCTATTCACACCAGCTGAAAAGTGTTCCTACTTGAGGTGTAGCTGAAAATGGAGGTGAGGTTTTACCTTTCACTGATTCAGCTGTTGGAGCGCAGTAAAGAAGATGATAATGGTACTCAAGATTTACAAAAGGGTTGGTTTTGTGCCCTACTCAGGTAGTCCTTTTGTTTTTTAAAGATGCATAATGTTTCGAAAGCTGACCACTATCCTTTTTATTACCTTTCTTCATCCCTTACGTTATCCTCTGGTAAGTGATAGTCGACTGGTGAGTTTTTAATGGCACGCAAACCTTAGCTCGGACTTGAAGGGATGGAATAATTGTGATTCCATGTTAACTAAATCGGTCTTCATTATCATTTCATCTTTTTATTCTGTTCATGGTATCTAGCATGTTGACACAAACCAGCAGAGGATGCCACCTTCTCCACCCAGTGTATGAAGCTTTAGTCATTTTATAATCAATTTGAGTCATGAATATTTAATTTATTTTGCTAAAAAAAAATGTATCAAAGTTTATTTTTCAGAATAAGGCGTTTTACATAATTATGTAATGTTATTAAAGTATACTGTTGTGTATAGTACATTTGAGTCTCCCTGTTTAATCACATTTAGTTCATGCCAATATTTAAATGTTTCTGTATGTCATTGGTTGTATTTGACAATCTTATGTATTGTGTTCAAAAATTGAATCATATAAAAAAGTTTGATGGTTTAATTAAATGGCCTGAAACAAGTGACATGCCTCAGGAAGATCAATGCTCTCTTTACATTTACAAATATACTTTAAAAAGGCATACAATCCCTGTGAATAAGATCAGTGGCTGTACAGTCGGGCACAGACAGGTCAGCTTTCCTCCTGTGAGCAGTGTCTGCTGTGGGTGACACAGAGGGCAGCCAGCAGAGGGACAGATGCTGTGAAGAACGAGGGAATAGACACAGGAGCAGCCTCACACAGTCCTCCTCTTCAGATGAGTGATGGCCCCTGCAAGACTACACCGAGTGACCAGCATCTTTTTCCATTTAAGAGACTCGACCCTCTCCGCCTGCCCCCTGGTCCGCACTACCACCTCATTCAACTCCAATCTAGCTAGGATTTCCTTTCACCATTTAGGAAGTGCATTGTCCTGCCTCTGGGAGTGATGTGACAGGACCCTGCGACTGCTCCGGGAAGAAGGGGGGCATTGTATCAGGTGAGCGCCTGTTTTGTTGTGAGCACTACAGGACGGGATGAGCTTTGGCTCCAGACAGGTGAGGAGTGAGTGCACTGAATCACTCTGTGGGTCTAAAGGAAAGGGTCTGCACAGAACACTTTGGTTTTAGGGTTCAACAGCCATGTTACTTCCATACCCGTGAATAAAGATTCAAATCCATGAACCTATGGTTGTGAAGGCAAGGCTGCCCCCTAGTGGTTTGAAATCAGGCAGAAATTCAAAAGTCAACTGTAAAATTCACAAAAAAGACAGACAATTGTAATCATTTTTCATCAACTCTTTATTAAAGATTGAATCATCTTTAACTTCTCTTTTTACAGTATTTTAATAACATTGATAAAGACAAACAAAGCACTACATAAAGGAATGAACAAGGACAGGAACAATGAAGAACAGGAAAGAAAAGCATTAAAATGTACACAATTTACAAATGAGCTTAACCCCTCTGGACTTTGCAGACATATGTGTGTGTGTGTATATGACTGCCTTTAGGTACTATGGTTACCGCGTTGGTGTGACGTTTAGTTCCTCCCACCGGAAGATGTCTGGACGACGCTTGATGACGCTACTTAAAGTGGACCTATCATGCTATATTTAAATGATATATTGTAGGGCCCATGGATGTATAATAAGAACTGGATACAGCGTGGGAGGCGGGGCCTCATTCATTCCTATGAGAGTTGCTCATTCGCGCATGATGATAAAATGGCCCAACTTTTGAGAGAGCGAAACGTCACAGATTACCCGGCATGCCTGAGAAGTACCCGTATGTGCGCTCATAGCGCATGCGCAACTTTAACCATGCCCCCCAAAATGCTCGTTCACATCAAGCACGTCAATTTGCGTACACGTAACAGCACCGCACGTTCATGACAGCATGGTAATGTTTGTTATGATAGATTTGATATTAACGAGGCGGCAGTTAGCAGCTAGCGGTTAGCTAGTAATTATGCTAATTTACACATCAATCGTTATGTACTTTTATATTACGCTGTAACAGGATCTAGTGATATCCAAGCAACAGAGCTTCATTTAGCATGAAAGAATTATTGCACTGTATATATATATATATATATATATATATATATATACACACAGTGCAATAAGCTTCTTAGTGCAATAAGAAGCTACAGGGACGTTAATCTACGTCGGTAATATTAACTTTATTTAATACAACATTTACGGTACAAGATTTAATCATACAGCCCATGTAGTATAATATGTTATAAATGATGAATTACAGCAAACATGTGCAATATATCCATTATTACAGCTCCGTGGGCTGGCAGTAAGGCGATATGGGTCCGTTCTTATTGTGCATCCATGGGTAAAGATAAACGCATGTAGTGCTGAACACGTAACATGAACGTGCCGGGCGGCGCGGTCCCGTGGGTTAGATGCGCGTTCATAATGCAGAGGGAAATAACTCTCAGAATAACGTTATTAGCACATTTTACAACTTGAGGAACGAATGTTTTTAATAAGGGCTATACAAGTGTTCATACTGGGTAGTTTATTTAGTTTAAAAAAAATTATCCAACGATTTACAGACCACTCTTTCCCCATGTAAGTCAATGGGAAAAAGTGTTTCCGGGCCTGGCAACCAAAAGGAAGTGTAGTACCGCCGTTTGGCCAGCACGAATATTTTCATCAGAGTCCGGCGCACTTCCTGGGGGCTTGGTAGGGCCATACCTATATAAGGTATATTTATACTTTTCTGTTTTCAAAATACCAAACAGATCATGCATTTTAGCCATGCCTCATTTCGCTCTATTTGCTGTTCTCCAGCACTGTTTTTGCACGGGGCTGATTCTGTGAGCTGCAGCTGACCACGCCCCCCTGCAGGAGAGGGGAGCCGTGCTCTGAAGTCAGAAGAGGGGGAGAAAAATAGATCTCCGTCCTCCGTGTTTTATGATATTATTATAGGCCTATAGAGTCGTTATTCATTTGTTTTAAAGCTCAATAAATAACAAAGAAGACCTTTGACCGGCACTTTTCTAATTTTGTCTGGAAGATTTCAACTTTAACGGACATCTTGACCGGCGACAGAAACTGAAACTCTGCCGCACGGTCCCCTTGTTCCTTGGAAGAGGCGGAGAGGTGGGTGTTTGTCATCTGCTGGTGGACTAACCGGAGAGAATTACAGTGCTTGCCTCGACGGGGAGGGATTGCATTGAATTAAAGCAGCAGGAGCAAACGCTTGCCTCGGGGAGGGAGAAAAAAAGCCACAGCAGAGAATAAACAGAAGGGTAACCATGGTAACCATGCGCGGGAACTCTTCTTCGCTGCTTTTGTGGCAGACTACAGCGCCACTTACAGGCCTGGCATATGTACTACAGCGTCTCCAGAGCTTTCGAGCGGCACATTCCCCTGATAGGTGGAGAGTTGGCCCAATAGCCGTAGCGCCACTTTCCTGACGTCAGTAAAGTGTTCAAATCTGGATACGTTTTTATCAGATCCGTTGCAGCCCCTTTTTTAGAGATTTGGGTATGGAGGAAAATAGAGAGGGTAGAGTTTTCTGACACTTGGTGAGTTCCCTGGAACACCGGGGACACATATTCATGTATAAAAGACGTAGAAAAGTGCATTTTGCATGATAGGTCCCCTTTAAGCTGCAACGCTGCTGTCATTCGAAGCGCTGGATATGTGCCAGGACGCCACGCTACTCTCTAAAATGTTTGTGTATGTTCTGTGACGGCGTTGAATTTGTGCTAGACGCCTCACTATTTTCACCTTAAGTGCCCATATTGTTCTGTGACTGTGATAATCTGTGTACTTATATTATAAATAGATAGCTCCTTGGTTAAAGAGCCTATACTTTTGTTTATATCATTTTTATTTTGAGTTTATTATTAAAATCAACCTCTTACCAAGAATATCTGGTTTCGTGTTGCTTCCCTTTTACCCTAAACGAGCTTGGGACGTAACATGTATATTCAAAAGTCAACTGTAAAATTCACAAAAAAAATACAGACAATTGTAATAATTTTCATCAACTCTATATTAAAGATTAAATCACTAACTTCTCTTTTTACAGTATTTTAATAACATTGACAAAGACAAACAAAGCACTACATAAAGGAATGAACAAGGACAGGAACAATGAAGAACAGGAAAGAAAAGCATTAAAATGTACACAATTTACAAATGAGCTCAACCCCTCTGGACTTTGCAGATGAGCTCATCACAAAGTTTGGTGAGCTCTTCTGCCTCTTTTTCCTACAAAAAAATTAAAGGGAACAATTAATAGAATATTTGATATTTAATAGATTTATAAACAAATAACCGCCATGTAATGTTGTCCTCTTCTCTCACCTTCTGGTCCAGGCTCTTCTCCAGCGACTGCACCTTCAGCTGCTCCATCCTCAGCTGGGCTTGGAGGGCAGATGTCTCAGAATTGTTCTTGGACCGAACCTCATTAATCTCCCCGTTTGCTCTGAAGGACAACAGGTGTCAGTTAAACGCTGCAAGTCTTGCATTTGACACTTCCAACAGAGTGCAGTGAGGTTTCTTACTGGCCAATCTTCTCCTCAGCGTGGGTTTTAAGGGTCTTGTACCGCTGCTCCTCCTTTCTGATCCTTTCAAGATAGTCCCGAGCACAGGCTTTCAGAGTCTCTTCATTCTGCAGGAGGGCCACAGGAAACATGTTACCAATCATACGGCCACTGCTATTTCTTTAAACTACATCATGCAATTTGTGGATTATATCCGGGCAAGTGTTGTTTTCTAACCTTTTTGAAGCCCTCAATAACATCCTTGTACTTGTCCAGTCTCTTGAAAAGGTCGGAGCACGATCTCTCCATGGTGTTCAGATCACTGGAGACCTGCTCCTTTTCGATGTGAGCCGCAGTGCGCTTCGTCTGGGCCACCTCCCTCTCTTTCTCTTGATCAACTGAAAACAAGAGTTAAAAGCTCTTATGACACCGAAAAGACTTGAGACTGAGGCACGTACATTACATATATTAACTTACGCAGCATTTTAGCAATCATGAGCTCAAACTCTGCATTTATTTTCCTGTAAAAAAAATAAAAATGTTGTCAAATTTCCTTTAAAAACGAAATAAATATTTTTTTTATGTTAAACAGACTCAAAACGAGCCTACCTCATTTCTTGGCCATCGTCAAGTATCGTTTTATATTTTGCACTCCATTGATCCTCTGTGTCCTTTGCCTATTTGAAAGTAAGAACATTATTGTTATTTATTAATAGTAAGAGATTACGTATAAAATGTTTCAAATCAAGAGGCGACTTTTAATGTACATTTATAGAAACCTGCATGTTTGAGTAATACAATTTCAAGTTTATACAAAACAACCATTTTTTTTTTAAAAAACATTTATTTGGGAGCTTAAATCCTAGCAAATGTGGTTTATAATAATGTCCCTAATGGCGGAATCACAACAAAAATAAAGTATAAAGTATTATCCCTCTTTTTTTGAAAATGTATCAGTAAATGATGAAAAACCCTGTAAATCGAACAATCACTTACAATTACCTGTTACACATTTCTCCATTTAGCTTGTGTTGAATCCAGAATGCTCTGGTTGAATCAGATTTCTCTAAACTACTCTGGGGATTGTTTGGATAACCACTGAAACCATAATATAGTCACGTGATTTTTGTCTTTACAAATGGTTTTGTATTCACAAAGACACAAACAAAATGGACTTCAAACAGAAAACCTCTTCCTGACTGTTATTTGTCAAATGAACAAACACTGAGCAGGACATACTTGTGCCTGGACTCTGGCGATGGCGGCGTCCATGTCCTGCTGACTGTACCTCAGCACTTCAATAATGGCCTCCTCTGTGTTCTCTGGCTGAGGGAAAGGAGGGACGAGGTCTGCAAGGATTGGGGAAGCCTAGACGACAGTTCCAGTGTGAATAAATCAGGTTAGGCGAAGCATTGAATGTCATTTCCACACTTATTTTAAGAAACATTGCCATGCAGTCAGTGGTGGAATTGTTACAGTGACTCACAGGATCAAACAGTTGGAAATCATCCCTTTGTGCTCTGCTTGCATACTTTTCTGGCATCTGAGAAGTTTCAAGCCTGAGTTTGGGAGAAAAAAACAAAACAGCCTTACTTGTCAAGTGGTCAAAGTGGTTACATTTCAGACAAATCTCATTTTGTTGAAGATGTCAAAAGCGGAACAAATTCAGCTCTAACGTTCAGTGACAGCTGTAGTCGGAGTGAGTGGAAACAGAAGTACGTCATACCGTGAAACAAAGGCGACGGGGCGAGGCACGGGGTCCTGAGCCACGGGGGCTGCACACTTCTTGGGGCTCTCTCTCATCAGGGGGTCGAATTTAAGGTACAAGGATTGTTTCCTCAATGCAGATTCCTTGAACTGTTGACAAAAGAAACATTTAAGTTTAATTTATGTCATGCACTGACAATCAACAAAAGGTAGTCAGTCAGGACAGGATACGCAAAGTGAGTACTTACACTGTGGGACCCAAACTGTTCCAGGTAATCCATTTGTCCATCAAAGTCATTGGCCATGACTAAAGATATAGATGATAGTTACCGTCAAATAAGGATTACATTTATGTACATCATGCTTCACAAATAAGGACATTACCTGTGTTTTTCACCAACATAACTTATCACAAACATACTAAAAGTCAAGTGAGGGTAAAAGAAACATTTGGGATGTTTGTGGAAACTGGACAAAATAAAGTCTAATGTTTACTTACACATGGTTCCAGGAACAAACTCCTCATTGAATTCTGGCTGGGCGGCCTGCGTCTTCTGCTCAGGTTGACACAGACCAAAGAAGTCAGGAAGACTCTCAGTGGGTTGCTGAACTTCCTGTTGAACTTCGAGTAGAAATCCGAAGTCATGATCAGGAGCCGCCTTGTCTTTAGCATCCTGTCATTTCATAAAAATAAAAATGTATGTCTTTGAAAAAAAGATTCAAACAAGGGAATGTAAAATGGATAAAGATTGTATCAAACTGCATTACATATCTTTCTGCTTCAGGGATGATTTCTGCAGCCGTGACACTCTCTCCAGCGCTACAGAGAGAAAAGCATACAAACGTAGTGAAATAAAGTTCTACTAGCAAGTGAAGTTTCTGCTTCAAATAAATGATAAATACACTCAGATAAAGAAGGAAAACATACCATTCGGATGACAATGCTTCCTTCTCCGCTGGCACGTCCACTTTCTCTGGAATCAAATGTTCCATGATCACAGGGTCAGATAGCACAGGTTCAGCGTTCTTGCTACACTGTGGAGAGTTGGTCATCATGCTTGCTTTTGTGCCAAAGGGATTGAAGTTTGGGTCATCAAACTTGGCCATGTCAAATGAGTAAGACCCTTTGGAGAGTGGAACATCACCGCTGGCATCAGGCTTCACTGGAGCTTCTTTAGGTGGTTTCACGGCACATTCTGGCTTTCCCTCTTTAGGTTTGACACCAGATGGCCTTTTGCCAAATTTCATGGGTGGTGGTTTACGCTTGACCTCACTGCCATCGTCAAAATTGAACTCAAGTTTGACTGCTCTTTCCTGGGTATGGGCATCAGCTGGCTGGGACGTGGATTCAGCAGCTGGAGTTTCAGCAGCTGGAGTTTCGGCAGCTGGTGTTTCGGCAGCATTAGTTGTGATTGGGGCCGCTGCAGCTATTGGTGTCATCTCAGGTTGAACATCTTGAGCTTCTGTGGATTCATTTCCCTTCATCTCAGGTTGAACATCTTGAGCTTCTGTGGATTCATTTCCCTTCATCTCAGGTTGAACATCTTGAGCTTCTGTGGATTCATTTCCCTTCATCTCAGGTTGAACATCTCGAGCTTCTGTGGATTCATTTCCCTTCATCTCAGGTTGAACATCTCGAGCTTCTGTGGATTCATTTCCCTTCATCTCAGGTTGAACATCTCGAGCTTCTGTGGATTCATTTCCCTTCATCTCTTCAACTGGTGGGTTTGCTTCTGCCACCTTGCTCCCAATGAAAGGGGAATTTGGAATTTTTGAGCCACCTGTTTGGAAAGGATTGACCTCATCAAGGTTGTCAAAATCAAAAGAATAAGAACCCTTCGTTGGCAGTGGAGCATCTTCCACAAAACTGCCTGAAGAATAGTCTTGAGTGACATTTAGAGACGGTTGTTTTTCATCAGGCGTGGCAGTGCAGGAATCTTGTTCTTCCATGGCAGTGACCTTTAACACGGTGACCACGCTGCTCTCTGCGGAGCTGATGTTGGAGGGGGTGTCAACCAGGGAGCAATCCACAGATGGGGCGAAGGGAAGCGTATCATCTAGAGCAGATTCTATTTTGGTGGGCTGCTCTGCGATATTCTCGGTTTCTGTGTTTGGAGACTCTGTGGGAGGGTTATCAACAGCAGACGTCACGGGGGAGAGGACCATCTTAACAGAACCCTGAAATGGATTGAAAGCATCGAGGTTTTCAAAGTCCAGCTGATAGCCTCCTTTGCTTTGTATGGGCATGTCATCGTCAGGATAGGATGATACTTCTGTGGAAAATTCAAGAGGATTATCATTTTTGCAGCCTTTAGAGACATTCAGGGAAAATAACGTTATGATGTGTGATGATTTACCTTGTTTGGGTTCATCATGTAAAGAACTATAAAGGCAAGTTTATAAAGACAGAACAGACTTGGTTACTTAAATGCAACACACATTTATCTGGAAGAATATCACGGTATCAGAAATGTTACTTACTTTAGTGGACCCAAAGTTAAGGACTCGATTGCTTTGGTACACTCATCCACACTTGACATCTTAAGAGACTTGGATGGAGAAGATACGATTCTTTTAGTCGCAGGGTCTCTTCTTGGAGTCTGAAAACAAACCTACACACAAGTAATTTGATTAGGATCGTAGATAAATCCTAGACACAAAATCATATTCAGAAAAGATGAACAGTGGTCAGAAGCTATCATCACAGTCCTGCATAAAGAGGGAAAAGACCCCCTACAGTGCACTAGTTATCGCCTCATAAGTCTTTTATGCGTTGATTACAAAATACTAAACTTCATTTTACTCTTTATAAAAACACCCCTAACTTCTATTCCAGCCCTTATGCAGTGCTTGTCCAAATATGGGACAATTTCGGGATACAAATTAAATCAGAGGCAATGATGATAACGGGGCATTGGCCCACACAATTAAACAAGGATGTTTCTTACCGCTGGTCCAAGCAGGGGTTTAGATATCTAGGGATTACCCTTACTCACCACCCTATGCATTTATTTGAGGCTAACTATAATACATTAATAAAGCAAATAAAGAATGACATGATACGTTGGGAAATTCTCCCCCTCTCGCTATTCGGAAGGGTAGAGACTGTAAGAATGAAGCTACTTCCTCGATTACTCTTCCTATTTCAATCCCTCCCCGTGGGAATTCCAGCCTCCATTTTCAACATGTTAAATAGACGTATCTCTAAGTTTATTTGGCAGAATAAGAGACCCAGAGTAAGACTTAAAACTCTTTTCCTACCAAAAGAGGCCTGCCAAATTTAAAATATTATTATTGGGCTGCTCAGTTAACGGCAATAGTGGCCTGGATTAGAAAGGACGAGGAAACAGGATGGGCACAGATAGAGCAGAGTGCAACTAAGGGTGTGTCGTTATCAGTTTTGCCTTATATTGATATCAAATCCGTCAATAAAGTTAAGATTGAGAACGAATGGATAAAGCATACCCTAAAGTTGTGGACGGCAGTTAAAAAAATGTTCAGGAGCCCAGAATCAATATCAAGAGCCATGCCAATTTTAGGCAATATAGAGTTTCCTCCATCTGTAAGGGATGGAGGATTTAAAAGATGGGCCGATAAAGGTCTCATCACAATTAACCAAATGTTTGATGGAACAGATGTCAAATCCTTCTCCCAACTTCAAGATCAATATGGGCTCCCGTCAAATGATTTGTATAGGTACTTCCAGATCCGGAAAGAGAAGCAGTCTGAACAAATCCAAACATTATAGAAGAATATTTTATTAGTATTGCAGAAAAATGCTTCCCAAATAAGAAACATGTCTCACTTATATAAGAGGCTTATGGCAGACGACTCCCAAAATACCTGGAATGTTTGAAATAAATGGGAATTAGAACTAAACATTATAATCGAGGATGCTGTCTGGGAAGGATGCTGTCTGGGAAGGCAGCCATAAAGGAATGAATAGTCAGTTATGGAAAGAGTTTGATTGGAAGCTGAAAATCAGATTTTTTAAATTTCTAAATATGTACAAGGACCATCGGTCGCATTATGTTGGAGGAAATGCGGAAAAATAGGGGATCATACACACATCTTTTGGGATTGCCCAGTAATTGAAGGATTTTGGAAATCTGTTAAAGAAGAGATTAAAAACATCCTGGAAATGACTGTTCCTCTGGAGCCTATGTTGTTCTTGCTCGGAGCTATACCTACAGACACTTACGATTCAGACCAGAGGTACATATTACGGATACTATTGTTAATTGCCAAAAAGATTATAACTGAACTGGAAAAATGCAAAACCTCCGACAATCATTCAGTGGATGCACAGACTTAAACAAGTCTACACGATGGAAAAAATGACGGCGAGCCTGCAGATAAAAATGGACTCTTTTACCCAAAGATGGAACTGTGTTAAAAGACACTGGATTTGCTTTATTTAATTCCTTACTATACTTTGCTTTATCATGTAACCATCTGTCATTTTAATGAAAACGACCTATGTCAGGATATGTCTTGTCTTGTTAAAATGAAAATAAACAGTTCAAAAAAAAGAAAAGATGAACAGGAAAGTAATAAATGGCCATTTTCACATATTTGTATCTAACAATGTTAGTACACTTAAAACGGTCCTTTAGCTTTGACAACCAACAAACACAAGTGCTTTTCATTTGATCACAATCTGTTTAAAGTTGTGTAGAGCTATGCTGTAAATACATTGGGGCATTCAATTGTTATATGGTCAAGGTAACTAATAAAACAAATTCAGACAAATAGTTTTACAAGCAGGCGTCAAACCCCCATCTATCACTTCAGGTTAAGATCTAATTGTGTACATAATTTCTCCCCTGGCGTCATAAAAACAGTGTGTTAAAAGAATCAAGATAAAATGGGGACAGGACATTTAGGATAAAAGCGAGCTGGTTCTGTACCTTAGCCGCCTTTGGCACCGTCTTGCTGGGCAGGTTCTCTGTCTGTCGCAGGATGGAGGGCCTCCCAGTGGGCTGATCCAGAGCAAATATGTCGTTAATTGAGCTGTTCTGCTTTCCTCCAGGGCAGACCCCACGATTCTCATCATTCACAGCAACAGAACTCATCCTGTAATAGCAGAGGGACAAATTGTAAGTTATGGGGCCAGGAGTGATCTGATGAAACTCTGAGGGCAGCGTCATCATGAAAGCTGCAACCCCTTGATAAGACATTTTTGGTTGTAGAGTTTACTGATGCATGTTAAAAGGATCTGCACCAAGAAAGATTATATAAAGTTAGTATTGGTATTATACACTAAATATCACTAAAAAGTGAAAATGTAACAACAAATGATAACATGAAAAATGTGTGGATCACAGCACTGCAATTAAATAGTATGTCCACCAGAGAGCACTAACAAGTTAATTGAACTATAAAAAGTGCAGTTCAGCATATCCACATGACCTAATTTCAAAATGAATGTAATTTATAAATCAGCATCGAAAATAAATTATGGAATTGTTCCGCTTTTAAAGGCCAAGAGAATTAATTCTGGTTATAAGACTTAAAAAAACGAGGGGAATGACTTTGACTCACTGAAACATTTTAAGTTAATTTGGTTAGTAGTTTTCAACTGACTTTGGACATTGATCATTTCAATAACTATGTGGTGCTTTGTCAGCTTTAAACAATCTTCAAAATGTTGCTATAAAAGACACATTTTACACGCAAGTTATTATTAGTGAATTACGTCTTTGTCTTTTTCTGGACCTGCTGCCAACATTAACATCCGTCAGATATGGTGCTACTCAACGTTGACAACTTATTGTCTATAATGTCCAACAACAGTAGAATATAATAAAATAACTACTGCTGGTTTCATTAACGGCAACCGACAAACATTTAGCTAGAGAACTGCCATAATTTGATTAAATACACCGTACACGAAGATATCTAACGTAAGCGTTGACAGTAAAAATAGCAACAAAAGCTGTGTAAGCTAAGCTAATGTTAACTGTTAACGTAAAGTTATACTTGAGGAGTTATACTCTAATGATAAAACTAAACAGTTAATGTAAAGCGGAGGAAAACGTAGGACTACACAACAGAGCAGGTAGTAAGATACTATTATCACAATATATTCAGCACGTACCTTCAAAACAGTTGCAGTTGGCCGAAATCACAACGTCTTTCGTCAACGCATGAAAATGACTGGTGTCGTTTTGAAAACCCCTCTCCTTCAATGGGCGAGAACCGTTTGGATTTTAAAGCTAAATGTACCAATACAATTGCCAGAATCAGTAAAAGGAAACGCACTTCCTGGTTATGTAGCCAATCGCGCTGAAGAGCGGATATGATGTAGACGACGGCTGCGCCCAATGGGAGAACCGCAGGGATAGACGGATAGACATGGCAAGATAATTGTTATGGCAACTAAAAACTCAAACAAAACGGACTAATGGAGAAAATGTAAAAGTTATCGACCTTCTCTTCAAAGCTGGCTTCTTAATGCTAGCTGCTCTTCGAAATGCACTAATGGTTGATGTATTTAGTTACAGTGAATATAACCCAAACAGTACACAAAGGCACGTCTTCACATTGACAAAGCAATACACCTACAGGCTATAAGCTCACATCCCTGTTGAATATATAAACATGCCTGCATGACTGACTGATGCTTTGTGCGCCATAAAAAAGCACTGAAAGCAAAGTGTCAAGAGAGGGAGGATTTATCTTATTTCCTTTATAAATAAAGGCAATATACTGATCCTGATGAAGGTTAAAGTCCCCAAAATGTCCCAAACTAATTTGAATCTAATAGACAAAACAAGAAATGTTAAACTGTCAATTTAAGGTTTATTTAATACATTTCATTTTCGCCTGCATGTTTTACTTGAAATAGCATACTCATGGTGATATAATTGTTGTTGTTGTTGTTGTGCTCCTTGTAAGTCATTATATTTGTGGGGACAGTACGACCAGCAAAAGAGACAGTTCATTTAAATGATTACCCCTTATTCTGATGTTTGTATCCTTCGAAAAGCAAAATAAAGCCATGATGTTACACTCTGCTACAACAGATGGCGGTATGCACCTGTCATGCTTGAGTGTGGCCCTCCAAGAAGAAGAAGAAGAAGAAGAATTGCATGTCAACCGCTTCTGAAAACCAACGAAGAAGAAGTGGAGGCAGATCTGCCCGCCAATTTCGAAGGATGTAAACAACCTCTTTCGTCGGACAGTCGGATTGTGCTATGAAGGAAGTAGCGTTATATTTTACATCTTAACAGCGCGAATTAATCGTCGTCAACAATGAATTCCAGTGGAAAAGGTAGCGCACTAAACATATATTTATTAGAGTTGCAAACTAACCGCTAAATAGTTTTTGCGAAATGTGAAATGTTATTGGTAACCCTAGCAAGTAAGGTGACCGAATCCGAGACTGCTAGCATGGCTATGCTAACTTGCTTTAAAGCTAATATATTAAAATATAGCCATTTTGAACGTGCAGTAAAACCAAAGAGCTTTCAACAAAATGTAACGTCACTGTAAGCTTGTTGTGTTTAACGTTAAACGTTGTCACCAAAACGTGTACACTTGTGTATAGATTGTGTTATTGTGTATACAGATATTAGGAAGTCAAAAAGTCATTAAACAAAAGTTAACAATTGTATCATTTTGTTTAACTTTACAGGATCTGGCGATTCATCCCAACTTGTTGCCAGGTAATGTACCTTTAAGACGCTTTGCTTGGTTCATTCAAAGCATTAATAAAGCATTAAACAAATATTTGTTTTATAAAGATATAATGGAGTAAAGGCTTCTTCAGCAGAACAATATGTCAACCTCCCTGTGTGTGTGTTGCTTAAGAAATGTTTTGAATGCCAAATATATATACTTCATAATAGAAGTCGTAACTGCAGTAATATGTTTTTTGTCAGTGCTTTAATATATGTGACATTTTGGATAATTATTACTACTGCATTAGTGTTTGTGTTGCATTTCACTGCCCTAGATGTTATCATTTTTGCAATTTAAACTACTTTATTCCATGCTGTTGAGAGGTTTAATCTTATTTCTGGTCCTACAGCAGTGACGGGGATTCCATCAAAGTGTTTGTGCGAGTACGACCTTTGACCTATAAGACTGGGCTGACCACAGATGGAGACCAGAAGCTTTGTCTCACAGTTACCTCAGCCAACACCATCCGCCTGCTATCAAAACCAGAACCACGAACCTTCACTTATGATCATGTTGCTGACATGGAAATATCTCAGGTTGGGAGCACACAGTTTGTATATCGTTTGTCAGCCTGGAACGTAGGGCTGCAATTATAAAATTATTGTTATTATCAATCAATGTGCCAATTATATTCTATGTTAATTAGTGCGAATGCCGTTTGATTCAAATCATCTCACTTTTCTGCATTTCTCCGCTAAGTTCAGCAACACACTTACTTGGTTTTTGTAGCTAAAAGCAGCTACAGAGACCATTCAGCTATTAAAATATTCAGCTTTTTCTGCATTTTCAGCTAAATTCAGCTACAAATGTACACAGTTTACAGCATTCACACTTTCAGCAGGAAATGCATTTTCTAGTTAATGAAGTGTTTGTCTATAACATGCCAGGAAAAAAGTGCATATGGTTATATCTTAAAATGTCTTGTTTTGTCAGGCTAAAACCAAAATAGATTCAGTTCAATAGGATATCAAAAAGAAAGCAGGAAATCTCCATATTTGAGAGGCTGGAAAACGGAATTATCTGCAACTTTTGCACAAAAAATGAACTTCAATTGGATTTTCAAAATAGTTCCCTATTATTTGTCTGTTGATGGACTAATAAATGCAACTTTAGTAGGATTAATTATGTATGACTCAGATTGTGTGTTTAATCTTTATGTCGTTCTTTAACAGGAGTCTGTATTCTCCAGCGTGGCCAAGAATATTGTTGAGTCTTGCGTAAATGGATACAATGGAACTATATTTGCCTAGTAAGTGGTTTTAACGTTGTTTATGATAACTAAAAATCTAAAATATTTTAGGGCACTTTGTCTTGGTCTTCGTGGTGTTGGGCTTCCTGTGTAACATTTAATTCCTTATCAATTTCTCTTTTGCTTCTGCAGCGGACAAACAGGCTCAGGAAAAACATTCACCATGCTTGGTGAGAATTAGATATATCATATACATCTACATATAATATCTACATGTTCTCTTACATCCAGCAAGAGAAGAATTGAAATGACTCTTTTTTTGTCTTCTGCTCTAGGACCATCTGAGTTGGACAACTTCACAGATGAATTAAGGGGTGTTATTCCTCGATGTTTTGAGTACCTGTTCTTTCTCATCAACAGAGAGGTGGAAAGGGTGAGCTTTACGTTTTCATTGCCACAAAGGTGTTATTAACCAATTTCAAATGTTTGCTTTTCAAATAAAGTTGGTTCTTTGTTTGTTCTTTTTTCCTAAAAGTCTGGCCAGTCCAAGAGTTTCCTTTGCAAATGTTCATTTATTGAGATCTACAATGAACAAATTTACGACCTTCTGGACACAGCCTCAGCCAGCCTGTTCCTCCGGGAGAACATCAAGAAAGGTTTGTTTGTTGAGGGAGCCGTGGAGAAGTTCGTCAACTCAGCCGCTGAAGCGTACCAGGTATACACTCTTTGCATGTTGTGACTCCAAAAGGTATTGTCGTTTATAATACATGTTGAGTTGAGATCACAAGAAATTGATGATTAAATGTTGGTGCCAATACCTTTTGTTTCAAACCATTTAGGTGCTGTCTACGGGCTGGCGAAATAGACGAGTGGCCTCCACCTCCATGAACAGAGAGTCTTCCAGATCTCACGCAGTGTTCACCATGATGTTGGAGTCTAAAGAGTCAATCAATGAAGTGGTGAACATTCGAATGTCTCAGTTGAACCTGGTAGACCTGGCAGGGTCTGAGAGGCAGAAAGACACAAACACAGAAGGATCCAGACTAAAGGTGAAGCTTTGTCCATGAATCCAGTCTCAAGCTGAAGTGCTACACTATGATTGTTGCTGTTTCTAACTGCCGATATCTGCATTTCTTCTCTTTCAGGAGGCCAGCAGCATCAATCGCTCCCTCATGTGCCTCGGTCAGGTGATCATGGCCCTGGTTGATGTGTCCAATGGGAAGAACCGTCACATCTGCTACAGAGAATCTAAACTTACCTTCTTGCTGAGGGTGAGTAGCTCTAAATACTTAATATACCTTTGGTGTGGCTTTGGTACAGTACTTGTTATATCGCTGTGTATCAATGTGGAGTCAACATCCATAGTATTATGTCCAGTGGCATGACTCAATTGCATTTATTGTGTAAAATACAAGTTTATATGATGGGATTATTCTACTGAAATCACTATTGTAAAAGATTTTGGCATAAATAAGGGTTGCATTGTGAATTGTTTTAAATGTAAACAAAGTTCAAATCTTGTGCTCTTCCAGTATTTGACTTTCCTTCACATTCATTTATTTTCTTTCCACTTTAATAGAATATAAAACGTTATAATACTGCACTAAAATATGTTATTGCACCATATCAATTGAAAATATATTCTCTGTAACAATTATTATTGTTTTTCAGGACTCTCTTGGAGGAAATGCAAAGACCTACATTATAGCCAATGTTCATCCGGGTTCAAAGTGTTTTGGAGAAACTCTGTCCACCTTGCAGTTTGCCCAGAGGGCCAAGTTGATCAAGAATAAGGTATTGTCATTAAACAACATTTATATTGTATTACAACAAAGTTGACTGGAAGTTCTGGTTATTTCCAATAGCACTTTGTAATCTCATCCTTGTGCTTTTATTCTGTTTATTCAGGCCGTCATCAATGAAGACACACAGGGAAATGTGAGGCAGTTACAAGCTGAGGTGAAGAAGCTGAAGGAGCTGCTTGCACAGGCAGTAACTTCTCCAGGAGGGGACTATAGGAGAGATGAAGCGCCAGGAGGACCCGGACTCCCCATAGGTAACACCACGAGTACCAAACACATGTTAACCATAACACCCTCTAATAACATTGTCTTTAAACAATTAGCAAATATTTAAATGTCAGTCACTTACATGTTATACAGTTATTTGGTCAAAATATGAATTCATAGAAAGAAATTAAAAGTGTTCTGTTATGTTGCAAAAGTATAAATGAGCTTTTCCCATCAAATGCTTCCATAGATATTCAACCCGAGGGCTCATATAAAGCAAAGTTCATGGCTGCAGCTCGTCTCTGGAAGAAGTGCGAAGACGAGAGGAGGGTATGAAAATAATTATGTTTTTTGGATGGTTATTTCATTTTGTAAATGCTGCTGTGAGGAAATACTTTTGGTGCATGAAATCTTACAGAAATGTTTGACTACACTCAGATGCTGCTCAACAAAGTGGCTCAGCTTGAGGAGGCCTGGACTCAGAAAGACAAGTTCATCCATTCCAGCCGAATGATCGTCAAGTTCCGAGAGGACCACATCTATCGCCTTGAGAAAAAACTGAAGGCGGAACCAGGCTTAGTTTCAGACAAGGAGTCTCAGGTCGGGATTGACCAGCTGAAAGACGAGATAAAGATATTGAGAGATCAGGTACACCATTTAAACACTGCATTACCCACTGCTGATGTCTGTATGTGTATGGATGTGGTTCAGATGTACAAAACATTTAAATATTTACATGATTTATTTTCTCGAGAATCCAACATAGCTTTCTTCATGCTTATTCTAAAAGACCCAATAGAGTTACATTAGATCCTCTGTATATACTTTTATTTGTTTAAATAATGGCCATTAAATCCCAACATTTAACAACACAGTGTTTTCCCATGCACACATCTCTGCTTTTAGGTTGAACATCACCCAAAGATGACTCGATATGTAGCAGAGAACTTTTCTCTCAGAGAGGAGAACCGTCAACTCCGTTCTCTTCCGTCAGTGGTGAACGCTGAAGAGGCTGCAACCCAAGTTACTGCAGATCTGGAAGATCATTTCCACAGGGCTATGGAGACAGAAAGACGTACAGAGGGTAAGATCATTATCAGCAGGAGAGAACAGGTCAAGTTAACGTGTTGTATCCATTTCCTGAACCACTGTCGCTCCACAACTCCAGGAGCCTCTTCGACCCCTGTGGCTGTAGACAGTGCCTCGGCTGCTGCCATTGAGAAGCTGAAGGCTAAGCTGCTCCAGAAACAGACTGACCTCACAGGCGCCCTTCAGGCCTATGAGGAGTACAAAAAAGTCACCAAGTAAGGATGTTTACTGTAGGCACACAGTGTTCAACTCTAATTTCATAGCCTTTTTTCTTTGTCAACATCTGCTGTCTACAATGAAATGAGGGCAAATGTATGTAGGAGATAAAAAAAAAAAGAAGCCTATTACTTCCCCTGACTTAAACTTAAAATATATTGTATTCATATATTTGGAGTGACAATCCATCCCTGAATGTAATATCAGCTGGGTTTGATTGGTGACTGTATTGTAAGTGTTCATGCAATGTGTTAAAAGACTTATAAAGTAACTTTAGACTAGAGGGTAAAATGGTTTTTGATTGGTGCTTTGCGTTCTAGGAAGCAGATGTCTCAGCTGCAGTCTGAGAAAAGGTACCTCAACAAGTCCAACAGGCATTTGGAAAACATTTTGGAAGCCACGAACGCTTACAAGAAAAAGGAGGTGTCTGAGCTGAACAGAATTCACGTTGAAACCATAAAGGTGAGAGGACGTGGACATTTGTATTTAGATCACTGAGGCAACATTTTCTTCTAAAATCTGTTATTGTTGTCTTGCTGACAATCACTTTGTTTTTAACCTTCAATATCTAATATACCAGATTCTCACCACGCCCACCAAATCATACAACCTGCGGACTCGTCTCGTGCCTTTCTCTAGCCCGGAGCACCTGAATGGGTCAGACCACGGCACGGACGACCTCTGGTCAGAGCCGCCTCCTTCAGACATGGCTGAGATGGCTGTGACTGAGGAACTGTGTCAAGTGCAGGTACGACAGTGTGGTTTATCCCGTAAATGTGTGTAGAAAAACACATTCTCCATTGTCTCATACTTTCTTTAATGTCTCACCAGGAGCAAGCTAGCTACTTCCAGACACAGTTTAATGAGGAAGAGCTGAAGAACAGCAAGCTGCAGCAGCAGATTGCAAAACTTGAGGAGCAGATCACTGTGATGTCACAAGAGTCTGACCACAAGGATGAGGTAGAATTTTCTCATGTTCATTTACAGCTTTCTCATTTAAATGTAAGGCTGTGTAAAAACTATATCTGTTTGATATTTCACATGTTGCCCATTTTTTCCCCTTTACGCATTATGCAGCTGCTTTCTACTGAGCGAGCTAACAGGAACACAGATCAGCTCAACCGACAAGAAACTGCGAACGAGCTGCAACAGAGCCTTCAGTCCGAACAGCAGGCCGCAGAAGGTAAGGATCTCATGCTCCTCTTGTGTTGTTGGAAGTGTTTGTCAGATGGAAGTGATGACTCTTTGTTTCCTCTGGTTTCAGTACTGAGGACTGAGATCCGCGATCTACGTCTGGTGCTGCAGTCGTCTGACAAGGAGCTGGCTGCTGTGAGGAGCGAGCTGAGAGAGGGTCACAGCGAGCAGCAGAGAGAGACAACTCGGCTCTCCAGCAGTCTGATCAGCACTCAGCTCCAACTTGACAAATTCCAGTAAGCATTAGTTTCATACCTTTGCACTATGTCCTCCTTGATCTGATGTGTTTAAGTGACCACAAATACAATGTGTTAACAGGCTGGAGTGGGAGCAGCTTCTGGAGCAGCATCGGACACTGCAGGATTCATTTGACCAGCTCCAAGCTGAGGCCAAGTTTGATGCGGATCAGGCTCAACAGCAGCTGCAGGACAGGCAGCAGGAGATCGATCAACTGAAGGCACAGCTCACGGTTAGTAAACTCTCCAAAAGATAGAAACAATAGGCGCTTTCACACCGGAGTACTTTTCCCAGGAATAGTTCCGATAGTTCCTGGGATTTTGCGTTCACGCCAAAAAGATCTGGAACTAGAACTTTTTTTTGCGAACCTTTTCACCCCCTTTTTAGTCCCTGCTAGAGAGCAGGGACTTTCCTGGGAGAAAAAGGTTCCAATTTCTGATTGGCTGGGCGAATTGCAAACCACGCCCCGTAAAACTCGGAAAAGTTTTGTTAAGCCGCCATTGTATTTGCTGGGATTAGCATTAGCCCCGCGCACCAACGGAGAGAGACTAACTTATGGCAACACAAAAAAAAACATGGGAGCGGTGGAGTGATGAGGAGGTGTCGGCGTTCTGGCGATTTACTCGGAAGGCTTCAGTAGAAGCAGCTGGGACTCCGGGGACTTCCGGCCGGGGACTTCGGGTGGCAGTATACGCCGTGAAGTTGTTTGCGGCCTGCCAGTAAACCCAAAGCAGAAGAAGAAGAAGTGACGTCAGCTGCTTCATTTGCCTAATCCTCCCCCAGGGACTTATTCCGGTGTGAACGCGATCTGCTCTTTAGTTCCGGGAACTAAAGAGTTCCGAAGAACTAAGTACTGGGAACTAATGGCGCATTTCCACTACACGGTCGGCCTCGGCCACACTCGGTACGGCTCGGTACGGCTTGGCCGCGTTGGGCCTTAACAGGGCCAACTCACTTCATGCTGCGCTTCCATTACAGTTTAGGAACTGGGGTAGTTACTATAGTAACGCAGTGTAGGCGGAGCCGTGACGTCATCTTCAATGAGAAATCCAGAAACACAACACAGCCGTTAGCTGTGAGCACTCAGAGCTCACAGCTCCTCATATCTGTTCAGAAACTCGACAAAAGTTAAACAAGTACACACCACAGACTGCCTGTGTCATGGTGAATACAGTCGCTGCTTTATTTATGTCTGTATAGGCCGTTGTTGTGAGTGTGGACGGTCGGGGCATATACTGCGTTAGCTTAGCCAATCTCCATCTAGAAAAACACGTATTTTAAAAGGTTTTTCGCCTGCCGTCTGTCTGCAGACTTGACAAAGCATTAATTCATGGTTTTTACTAACCGGTATCAGTATGTTGTTACTTCGGCATCATTTTGAAACGTGTATTACAATTAAATCACGGTCAAATATGTCCATCTTGTTGTAGTTCTAGCCCTCTTGCCAGCGCTCCTCTCTCTAGTTTAGCATACTCAGCCCGACTCAGCCCTGTTTGTTGGCCCCGATAGAACCACAATTTTCTAGGGCCAGAAAAGAGGGGAAAAAGTGGCCCCGCGCCGTGCCGCGCCGGAACGAGGCCTAGTGGAAGCACAACCAAAAAAGGGGACGGCACGACACGGCACGCTTAAAGCGAGCTACGCGCTGCAATGGAAATGCGCCATAAGTACGGCAAAGTACTTGGTGTGAAAGCGCCTTATCGTTTCTTTCTCCTGATATCTCTGTCTAAACTTCCTTTTGTTTTATTTCTGTTGTAGGAGCTGAATAGTTCTCTGCAGATGGAGCAAGAGCACACAAGCACCCTGATCTCCCAGTTAACAGAAAACAAAGAGAGCACATCAAAGTGAGTTTGTCCACAGCTTTCTCTTTTTTTAGAGTTGCTTAATGCGTGTAACAATTCTAAATATTTTAAATTACTCTTTTTAACACAAGCAACCTTGGTGTTTCCCTTCAGAGAACTTATTGATACGATGGAGCAAAATACACTGCTGAGAAAGCAAGTCTCAGACCTGACCGTACAGAATCAACAGCAGGTCAGTCATAAGAACAGCTTGCATGTTTTCAAAATAAAATTCAATATATGTAACTATTGTAGCAGTATTTGCTAAACCTGGTTATCTGATTTTGGTTTGAAGGCATCCAAAATGGTCAATCTTGAGCAAAATTCCAACTCTGCCAACGAAACGATAAAAGGCTTGGAACAGAAGACTGAACAGGACAAAGTAAGCCTGAGTGAACTATTATCCAATTTTTCTAATTCCTTCCAAAATAATGACATTGTTTAAAGCTACCCTTCTGAATCCTACCTGTGTATTTTGACAGGATGTTGTTGTAGATCTGATCAACCAAACCAGAGACCTGCGCAGTGAGCTGAGCCAGAAGGACCAGACCATTGTTCACCTGTGTGAAGACATCAATGATATCACAGTAATTACCCTTGAATGACTTCACTGTTTTTGCTTTGTTACCTATTCCTTTTGTTCGACCACCTCTTATTGTAAATATGTTTAATGTTTGTTGAGCCAAAGCTTGCTGATGATAATGATGTCATTGCTCTTTCAGGCCAAGTACAATGATGTCTGCTTTGAACGGGAGGATCTCCAGGGGCAAAACTGTAAAATCCAGGCAGAAATCTGTGACCTGAAAGAAAATGTAGAGAGACGAGTGGCATCCAACAAAATAGAGGTACGTTTGATCATTTTTGTGTGATTTGTTTGGTATATTTACTGCAAGGGATGAATGCTTTGACATGTTAAGCAAATGGAAAACAATAGGTACTGTATATAAAGCGTATGTGATTGTCCTCAGGTGGAGGTGTTGCAGGAGGAGGTGGTTTATGCCACTGAGGAGGTTGAGAGACTCACTAAGGTCTTAGATGAGCAGAACAGCCTCCTCCAGGAGCAAACTGCCCAGAAGGACATCGTGATACAGAATCTGCAGCAGAAGGTCACTTTTTCTAAATAATCTCAATACAGAGCAAAGACATAACTACTATGGTCAAACAAATCTAAAATATGTTCTTTTGTACCAGTTACAAAAACAGCAGGAGGCAGTTGAAAGGACGCTCGGAAAGGGAAATTTCAAGCCTCTAGTTGATCTGACAGGCACGCCTAAATCATTACCTCGGGTAAGACTCTGCATTTAAAAATAAAACATGTGGCAAGCTTCCAGTAAGAAATGCAACTAAAAAGAAATACGTTTGTTCTGTTTCTCAGACACCCTGCACTCCAGGGAGTTTCAGCAGAGACCTGAGCCACGTACTGGAGAGCCAGGAGAGGGAGCTGGAGAATCGACGCTCCTCCATGATGACCATGGAGATACTTTTAGCAGAGCTGAACGCGGAGAGGGTGGCCAAGAATGACGAGATCCAAAGGCTTAAGGTATATCTTTGTTCAAATGTTTAATACATCTATAGCCATTTATTACTGGACTGATGTGTTTATTCCGCAAGGTTACAGCAGACTTGACTAGTATAGAGTCTTTTTCTCCACTTACATTAAATGTATACATACAAAATAAAAGTAATTAATACATTTAATAGCCTTATGGTCCTTATGGACTTTGAAGTCCTTCAAATATATGAAAATACATTGTTTCTGTCCTCAGATGCAGCTGACTGAGAAAGAGATGGTCCGGATTGAGATCCAGGCTTTACTTGACCAGTTCTACAGCAAGGAGCACCAGCTGATTCACAATGGGAATAACAAAAGGTGAGTTTATTTCTCCAGTCATTCAGCCATACACTGCCCTGAAATGCATCATATCATTTATTGTTAATGGCATAAGTAGATTAATATTGTTATCTTGTAATTTTTCAGCGATGACTTGAATGATGCCTTCAAGAAAACTATGCTTAAAGAGCTACAGGAGGAGAGAGCAGATAAGGTTTGTATTTATCTGCTGGTTTTATTTGATCTCTGTATTGAATCCTCAGATTTTAATTTGTTCCTCTCATTCATTTTACAGAGCAACATAATGCAGCAGCTGTCTGAAACTCAAAAAAGGTAAGGACCTGTGCTTTAGTCAAGTAAATAAATCAGCTTTTTCATGTTATAACATTCCTTTATTTATGCTTGATGTTTCACAAGCTCTCTCTGGTTTCTTTTTATAAGACTGCAAGCTCAGGAGTCGTTGTTGGGCCAGTCTCAAACCTGCGTCCAGGAGCTGACCAATGAGCTGAGGAACCGCTGTCTAGAGTTGAGAGATGTGGGCCAGAGGACACATGAAGATGAGAAATGTGTCCAGGTCAGAGTCTGAGTATATGAGTTTTATCTTTCTCTAAAGAACATTCTGCATGATGTTTTTTCAAGTATGATTAAATAGTATGATTAAATGGACTACTGGCAACCTAGTCAGAAGCTGAAATCTGTCCCCAGAGGAACTATCAGTTCCTGGCTGTGATTTGTTACTCAAGAGAAGTTCATTTCAGGCCAAGTTTGTAGACAGTGTAGAATTATACTCCTTTATCTAAGAGCTGCTAAAGATAACACTGATAATAACGGCCTACAAATGAAACTTATTAAAAGATATTTAGCGGGTAAAATAAAGGGAAAATTGGGAAAACAATTCTCTAACATTATCATTATTTTTGCCCTAATTTGATTTATTTTACAGGAGAATGAGCTTCTCCGTAAGCAGAATGTCAAGCTGTCAGAGGAGAATGGAAAACTTGTCGGACATAAGAACCACAAACAGAGGATTGAATATCTGGTGAATCTGAAGAAGGACAACACCAAACTTCAAGAGGTAAAAAACATGTCTGCTGTCATCAAATGATGTTTCTCTTTGGTTAAAACACCACATTAATAAATGTTCTTTATGTTTCTTTTGTTTTTAAGGTAAATGAAAAACTCAAAACGGAGATGATCTTAATGCGGGACAACGGTGGATATCTGCCACTGGAGATTACCTAATTTATTGTTTAAAATTACAGGATTTTGCATTGTTACCAGTAAAATGTTTTGGTTTGAATGGTTTCAGGTACAAAACATTTTTAAATTCATCTGCTGTTACAGTAGCATGGACATATCAACTGTGACAAAACTTAAATTATTCAAGCTCCCTCTGTCCCCGTAGGTTTCTATGGATGTCAATTATTACACTTAGACACACTTCTCCCACTATATTGAAATTACAACAATGCTGAATTTAGTGTCAATGTGAAAACTGGACATTTGTGTTTTTATAATTTTTAGGTGCGTATGTCTTGTACTGTGATTTGAGTGACCTGATTTGTATCCATGGTAGCCTATATGGTTGGTTGTATTTGTTTACCATCACACTGAGCTATATATGCATAGTTGTTTTTTTTTGCATAATGAACTTGTCCTTCAATTGTAATGCTATAATTAAAACAATTGTATTCAGATGTTGTAGTTTTGTTTCCTGAACTGTTATAGACTGTTTTACATGTATACGTTAGCAGTGATGGAAAGTATATTTACTGAAGTACTGTACTTTGGTAGAAAGAGAGAGCGGCTATGAGTTAATTTCCTTCTATTCTGTTGCTATTACCTGCTTTAGCAACATTTTGAATGCAGGACTTTTACTCTTATATTTGTTATACTCCTACCCAGTGTTCAAAGAAGTACTAAGATCCTTTAGTACTTCTGTAAAAGGTAAACTGTTGTATTAAAATAATCCACTACAAGTAAAAGTCGTGATACAAATTCTACTTTAGTAAAAGAACAAAAATAATTAGCATCAAAATATACTTAACGCACAAAAGGTACTCATTCTGCACAATGACCCCTTTCAGAAAAATATAAAGTACTTTTGTATTAATTACATGTACTTGATGTAACAACAGTGATAGTACTTGTTAAGCAAATTGGAACTTTTCCAAGTATTTTATTATGATTTATTTTTATTTTATACATGTAAAAACATTTTAGCATTGTAGTTTTCATATCATTTTCCATTTGCAGTGCAACCGCCAGGAGGCGATGTGTGGAACGTATTCCTCACGTTCCAGGTTCCAATCCTCACGCGTCCTAATCTGAGTAGCATGAAGCTGCAGCGTCGGAGACTGCAGTCTCAGGACAGCACTCCTGGGACTGTTTTAGTCAGTTATTATGTCGGCCTATTCTGTAGGTTAGAATCTGTCGTGTCAGACCCAACTGGCTTGACAGTAAGTTTATAAAGTGTCTTTACTTCTGCCTTCTCCTATCCTAGTATTATGAAGTTGATAAGAGTAAAGTCAGCTAAATTAAGGAAGGTTTTGTTATTTTTCTGTCTGAATTGTAATTGTTTTATGACATTCTACTTCAGGTGTCGTCAACTGGAATGTCTTTACAGAGGGACACAAACAGGAATTCAGGAAGGCCTACCAAATTTCCAGGTGCTTTCAATGCGACAAACTTTATAAGAACGTTGGCACAGGCTACCGGGGAAGTGGACGGCGAGGAATGTTGCAGGGTTTTTACTCCGAGGAGGGCTTCCCGGGGTACTGCAGCTGGAGCTGTTTTCTGGTGGCTGAGGGAACAGCAGACCCCGCCTCACCCCAGTGAAGAATCCACAGTGTGGAAATTGTGCCCAATAAATAAAAATGTATTCTGCACTGAAATGCCTCTCGGTCAAACTGCATGTTTATCTTTTGCAGCCTGGTGCATAAACACACTAACAGTTGTTTTTGAGTAATCTAGCACCTCTTCAAAGACACGTTTGATTTGATTTATTTCGAACGTGTAATACAATAAAAAAAAAAGATTATAATAATAATAATTAAATGAAACAAGAGAATTATGATACTGTAGAAACATTAGCAGTATCAAATTGATAAACTAAATATTATTGATTTACAAATTATATATAAACAAATGATCTACCTAATTACACATCCGAATAGGCTGGGAAGGAGTTTACACGTATTTAATCCCACCCCTTCTCCCAAAAACTAAATTAACAGTTTTGTTTTCTTTCAACAAAATATATCTAAATGTATGTCTACATACAATATACATTTACAATTATAAATAGATTATATCATTATTACTACAATATATATATATATATATATATATATTTACGTTGTATGTCAAATTTGATAAGACAAATATAAAAGACTATCTTTTTACATCTGACATACAAAATACATTTGTTATTAAAAAACAAAAACATATTAACAAAAAATTGTTGTTAATAATAATAATTTAATTTCTGTAAGAAAAACATATTTTCATACATTTTTAGATGGTTAATAACAAGCATTACAATGTCTAAGAGACTCGCTGTGTATGAGACTCAATACTCGCTGGTTGTACTTTTGCAATTTGCTAGGTGGCGATGTTGCAAAACAACTAGGGTCCTGAGACTGCAGCCTCCGACGCTGCAGCTTCATACTTCATTAGCCTAATCTCGCGGGCAGCAAGTGAATTTTGCAATATGGTCTAGCTGCAGCCACGGACAGTACACGACACTACACGACACGCCCACTACACGACACGCCCACCTGACACGACACTACGGTGGCTGAGAGACATTACCGTACATGGCAGATTAAAAGCGAATTGACGACACTTATTATTATTGAGATCGTACATGGCAGATTAAAAACGAATTGCAAATGTTATTGTAGCATTTTAAGCAACTATTAGGCAAATAAATTAATAACCTAGTCTATCCGTTTGAGACACAACAGTATAACTTTCAACCCAAATCATTTTGTCAACAAACGGTGGTTTAGTCAACTTTTTTTTAATATATAAAATAGGTATTAATGAGATGATCTATTGATTATGTTTGTCTAACTGCTACACATGTATTTTATACATAAATGTAGATATTTGTGAACATCTAAATATAGTTGTTAAAGGTTTTAAGATATACATTATCACATCATGGGGTCATTAAGGAACAAATTAGGAGGGCCAGTCAAGCCACTAATGAGCTCAATCATTCACATGTATTATTATTACTTTATAAATTAAAAGTACTAGGGGTCTATTACAAAACCTTTGAAGGAATCGCATAAATTAAAATAAATGTATGGCAAGTATGATCAAATTAACATAATGTCAAGATATAGCCAATAGACAATCAACATGCTTTGACTATAAAGGAAGAAGAACAATAAACAGATGAACATTTAGGTTTTATGTGTAAATTGTGAACAAACCATCTTAATACAACTGGCAGTCTAAGACAGCAAACTAAGCTTCTTTAACTGCTGCTAGAACACTGTTTTACCATGGGGTATTTCTAACAAGACCAAAAAGATATACAAGGCTTCCAAAACAGAAGAAACCAACTCAATACAGTATTTTAATTTCCTTCAAAACGACAAAAGCACTAATAAAAACCAAATAACAATAACATCAAGGAAAAGTAATTAAAGTGGTTGCCTGTTGTAAATACCTTGGTATCTGGCTTGATGATTGTCTCTTCTCTAATAAGTCAAAGATATGTTTACTGTATATTATAAAAATGCTTGTCATGTAGGCATACTGGAGATGGGAAGGCTTTAGTCAGTGTTGTAGCTGAGATTCTTACCGTTCCAATGATGTATTAATAATAACTTGGATTTATATAGCGCCTTTCATGAGACCCAAGGTCGCTTTAAAAAGAACAGGAGTAGAAACAAACATAACAAAAGGCAGTTAGACGAACAGTTAGACAGACAACACAAATAGATTTGGGGCCAAAGACCTTGGCAGACTTGAGGGCCCTTTTGAAGGCGTCAAGCGTGGGGATGTTGCAGATCTCCGCAGGGAGAGTGTTCCAGAGAGTGGGGGCTGCCATACTGAAGGCTCTGTCCCCGAAGGATCGCAGGTTGGTGCGGGGGGCCAGAGTCTGAAGACCGCAGGTTCCGGGGTAGGGCATGTGGGAATTGTATTGATTTGATACAAGCAAGCCAGTGTTTCATTGTGTACTTTCAACTACAGTATATGGTCCGGCAAGTTCAGCATGCACTGCATTCACTGTGATGAATATACAATAAGACACTGATACCGTTTTCCTCAATGAACATTTATTGAACAGAACATCATGTGAAAAATGTTCCTTTTTAGTTGTAGGCTACAAAAACAACATGTTGTGGTTTTGCGCTTTGACATCAAAATGTTGGGGGCTGTGGAAATATTGTGCCATGTTGCTGCAGCAGCCGGAGCCATCACTGGAGCGGCCGTCGGAGCCATCACTGGAGCGGCCGTCTGGGCCATCACTGGAGCGGCCGTCGGGGCCATCACTGGAGCGGCCGTCGGGGCCATCACTGGAGTCGTCGTTGTGGTTGCTGGGGCCGCCGCCAACGTAGTTGGATGTTCAGTGCAGCAGTTTTTAAAGTGACTAATAAACATCTCCTTTCTCCCAATGATTCTTGGGCAAAAGCCACAGTGATAATGGCTGCTGGCCACACATTTGAGATGGCATTTATAAACATTATAACCTAAAAAAAAGAGACAGAAAGTGGTTTAGAGGATTCTAGAAACAAACCAACATGAATTTCTTGTAAATATGCAATTTGAAACAAGGTGTTTGTGCGAGAGCAATAAATAATCATGTCACCAACAATAATATTTTTGCCTATAAACTGATTTTTTGCAGATTGAATGTGTGATTATGCTCATATTGTGCCTACCCCAAATAAGGATATTTTTCCAGCATTATTAACACTTCATAACCTGAATATAAATCTAATTTTTAATGTTCAATTTATAATTCAAAATGAATTTACACCAAGGATGTCCTGGGGCACAGAAATAACACATGTATCCATAATGTGTGAGGCATTAAACACATCTAACAAGTAACATGTAATGTAATGTGATGAAGTATACAATGATCATATAGAATTATAGATGTACTTACCTCCATATTTCACAAGTGCCCTCTGGTGGCTCTGCAAATGAGCCATCAGACCAGGGTATGACCCGGTCCTTTCACAAAATGGACACTGGAAGGTGTCCGAGTCCAATTTGTTGAGCTCTGGGCGTGCTCCATCACGGAGTGTTGTGTTGTTTGTCTATAGGTGAATAAAATAGAATACAATTTCAGTGACTTTAATATTGGAAATAGTTAACTCCTTAAACAAGCAGCAATGGACTGGCCTGTATAATCCTATGGGACAAAGCTGGTCATACTTCCTCACTTTCAGAAGGTAACCCTTTAACTGCCAGCGCCACCATTTGGTAGAGCACATTTTGTGTCTTGATATCTTGTTGAAAAAAAAAAAAGTTTAACTCCATCTGATTCAGCCAGCTCTACCTTTTTGGTTGACATGTTATGCACAAAACAACCTCTAGATGTCACTGTGGTTCGAACAGAAAGCCCTTCAGCTAGTTTAAATCTTTATATATACGGTCTATGGTTTAAATGTCAGGCCTACAGCATGGCCACAAACCCCATCTAAAAACAGAGGCCTGATTGCATCCACCTGGGTTACTTGGCTCTACCCAATAACTATATATATCGTTTAACTTTAAACCACACTTAAAATAATAATATAATTATACATATGTGCATGTCAGTATAGCAGCTAATACATGTTTTTTTTTTAAAACATTCAAATGTGAAAGACACCTTCAATGAATATTTAAAATCAGATTCTTGTAAAAATGCGAGTACATGCATTGTTCCATCTGCTAAAATATATACATATATCTTAGCTCTTAGCTTGACATGCTAACTGAACGAGCATGTTCAGTTAGCATATATGCTAACTGAACGTCGAGCATGTCAAGCTAAGAGCTAAGATATATATATATTTATATGTATTCCATTCCTTTACATTTAATATTTAAAATACAAATTAGCTAAATAAACACAATTACACTGCGCTAAACAGCCACATCGACAAACAAACGAGAACCTAAATAGTATGTAATTATATCTAAAACCACAATACGTTAATTACCTGTACTCGGTGCGCCATATTGTTTGTCTGTTCTCTGAACCTCATGTCTCTTTAAATATCCTTGCATCAGCGTCAGTGTCGTCAATTCGCTTTTAATCTGCCATGTATGGTAATGTCTCTCAGCCACCGTAGTGTCGTGTCAGGTGGGCGTGTCGTGTACTGGGCGTGTCGTGTACTGGCCGCGGCCGCAGCTAGACCCTTCTCGAATTTTGGAGAGACTCAATGGAAATATGCAATAACTAGACATCTGCAAAATGAAGAAAGTGTTCACTGCAGAACAAATTTCGGATTGGTTCACCTCAGGAACGACGTTTGCTAACATTAAACTCACGGAGGAAGTGGTTGAAAGAAAGTTGGATGAAGCGTCGTCGAAAGAGACCAGGTGAGAGAAACGTGCAAAGTTAACATTAGCTTAAAATTGGCTAACACCATGCTCGTTAGCATAGTGCTGGATCGCACCTGACTTATTTCTATAACGCTAAGGCCGGTTACAAAACAAATTCCATTCTTATGGAGTCGTTTGGTTTATCGTATCCAAAACCCTGGATGGATAAACTTTTTGAAAATGCAATTGTTTCGGAATCGTGCATGTGCGGAGTTTTAGCTATCATTTGGTAACGTTAATTAGCAAGCAACATCAGTCTGAACTAGGGGAAGAAGGTCACTGGCCTGAAAGCAAGCTAACCTAAATGGTAAAGTTAATGACTAAACTCTTCAAGCGTTCTTTGTGGATTCCACATAGACAGTATATATAAAGGGCTACAACCCGTAAAAGAGGAGAACTGACTCGACCTGAGCTTCTAGACTATGAAATAAACTTGACTGAGGTTTCCAAAGTTGACAAGTAATTCTTTAATATCATTTTTAGCGTTATTCTTTTAATACAGCCCACATTTTAAAACCATCGATATAGATGAAGCTAACATCAGTGATGTAACCACATTGAACATAAAATAAAGGCTTTCTGGTGCTTTTTCCTGGCTTTTGTAGACTGTAAGGAATGTATTACAAATGTATTTGTTGTAAGTTTAATAACAGCAAAATCAATTCGAACTATTAAGATTATTTTATAACGGGTAGTAGTTACCTAAAACTTTGGAATTCGCCCTAAATAACAATACTGAGGATATGGGCTTCTGGCAAATATGGGAGAGTCACAGGTTGATTAACAAGTTACAAGATAACAAAATAATCTATATAAAACTACTCAAAACGAGTCATTCTATTGAGAAAGGATCAAAAAGAGCAGGGGACAAACAAGTTATTATAATTTAAAAAGTGCAATACATTGTCCACTCGGCCTAATGTCTTCATTATTTGGTATCAAGCTACAATATATCTACAACTAATACAAACCATCACGTTTTTGCATATTTTCTCCATGATGTGGAATGGATTAGGGCTGTACCCGAATATTCGTTCGTTGGAGTCAGTGGCGTAGCCACCATAGGGCCCAAACTGGTTGAGGTGGTATGAAGATTTTTCCTGGGTGGAATACAGCGCAATTAGGGACGCGCTTTTCTGTAAAATGTGCAGACATTTCCCCAGCCCAGGAGCTGAAGGTGCATTTAGGGAGGGATGGATATGGTAGACTAGAAGCACCTGCGTAACTCGTTGGAGAGACATCAAAAAAGCGAGGACCACAGTCCATGAGCAGGTTTGAATGCTACAACCTATTGTTGCTGTTACCTAGTGCAATAAAAGAGTTACATAACGATTGTAAATAACCCAATTTGTGTTCTGTGAAACTGAAAAGGATATTACATTGTTTTTGTTACTTTCATTACAGTTGTATATGTCTTAAATGTCATTTAGGTTAACTTCCTGTGTTATTTAGATGCTTTTATTTTCAAGGCGAGTTTACGCTGTTGACAGGAAGTTGTTGCTATGGAAACAACGTGACGGAGTGGAGTTTAATCTACATATAAAGACGGAGAAAGTAAAGGATAACGTTTATGTTTAAGTTTAGCACCCCCCGAAGAGGCACAAGATTGGTATTAACTATAATAATAATAATAATAATGGGTTTCATTTATAAAGCACTTCATATTTGACTTCAAATCCCGAAGTGCTACAAGCAGTGAGCATGAACAGTATACAAACATTACACAACACGGTAGAATTAATAAAAAGCAATAAAAAACAAACAATAAAAATAAAATAAAATAAAAGGGTGGTAATAAATAAAAGGTCTATAATATAAACATGTAGGTTGTGTCCTAATGCGTTTATATGCTGTTTTGTAGCTTTACTGTCTGTTTAGTTAACTTTTGGTAGTATGCTAAAGTGATTCTAATACGGATGGAGCCTACATTTATTTGTTCTTTTTGTGTCTTTATAGCTCTTACGTTGATATTGGAGATTTCAATAAATTCATATCATCAGTCAAGTCTTCGACCATTATTCGGAGGGAAATGCTACAACGATGCTTGGCAATGGGCATTATTATATATTATTATTATAGGCCAGGCCTACCTTAAAGTAATTTTTCCCCCTGGAAAAAGCTGGCCCACCCTATTTTATACAGGCCCACCCTAAAGTAACTTTCTGCCTACGCTACTGGTTGGAGTACTATTCGGGTTTCAATTTCGTTATTCGTTTTGTGTTTTTTTTTGCGGCTGCCAAATTGAATTAATTGAAAACTCAAATATCAACGTAAGAGCTTGTGCCTCTTCGGGGGGTGCTAACACTTAACCATAAACGTTATCGTTTACTTTCTCCGTCTTTATATGTAGATTTAACTTTTTCTCCGTTAATCTCCGTCACGTTGTCTCCATAGCAACAACAACTTCCTGTCAACAGCGCTAACTCTCCTTCAAAATATAAGCATGTCCATACAAAATAGGAAGCCAAGCCAAATTACACTTAAGCAGGGCTCAACGCTAACTTTTAAAAGTGGTTGCCAGGCTGGCAACCAGGCATCAGCTTTTGGTTGCCAAAACTGAAAATACGGTTGCCATTTTTAGTCACCTTGTATTTTAAATAATTAAGATACTATACAGTTATACATCAACTTAATAATGAACATGTGACACAAAAGAATGTTCAAATGCTTTACAATAAGTAATTAACACAATTATTTGAAACTTAAGTGGTAGTAAACTTGTCCACCCTCAATTGCTGGTATACAAAATACCAGTAGTGCAGCTGTTGTCATGTTCTTCACAGATCCCTCACAAATGAATTGAGCAAGTCACTAGTTTCTTGGTCATCCGTTGTCTCCCTTTCAAATTTGGGTTTTCTTGACCTTTGTGCTGATCCCCACCATAGATCCATTGGCCCTTCAGCATCGAAGTCTTGGATTGGCCAGACTAATACATTTCTAATGTTAAATAAATGAAAACCATTCACAGTTAAGAATTAGATATGAATTATTAATGCTGTAAATTACCTTTTAATATGTCTAACTATATTTAAAATATGTTACCTTTTTATAGAAGTGATTATAATAAATCGCACGCAAGTAAACGTGTATCGCTTTCTGGCTCCGTAATCACACCAATGCACGTGCAACTTAAGTATCAGGTTCCGACTGGTCACAACAATAATTAAATATCACTCTTAATACAACAAATAATTAACATTTATCTATTTTGGGGTGCACATTTTGCTGTTTGCTGTCCTTATTTCTTTATGTTAAAAACAGGTTGCCACTGATGGCAACCAAAGAAGTGGTTGACATTTTTTTTGAATGGTTGCCCCTGGCAACCGTTACTGTCGAGCCCTGACTTAAGACATATACAACTGCAACGAAAGTAACACACAATGCAATATCCTTTTCAATTTCAAAGAACACAAATTGGGTTATATACATTAACAAATAACTATAAAACAACAATAGGCTACTGTAGAATAACAAAATGAATGCCATGAATAAACCGAAATACACGTGTTGAAGCGGTTCGCTGCTGATTACCACCCCCCCCCCCCCACGCGGGTCGAATATTCGCTGCCGATTACTACCGAATATCCGGAGTATTTTTAATGGTATTCGGGACAGCCCTAATGTGGATATTGGTACTTGTTCCTTTCTCTCACAGTGTAGTGCTGTATGGTGCCTTGGGCCTGAGAGAAACTGGGTAGTTGTATGGAAGGTCCCAGTCCCTGTTGGACCCTGTGAACGAACTGGAGTGCCGCATGGCCCTATCCACGTGTCCCGAGATTGTTGGGATCTCCTCCCTTGGGTTGTCTCCACAGTTTGGGACAGTGGGTGTGACAAAGCCCTGCTTCATTATGTAGCGGCTGGTCCATGCCTCCATTGGTCGGTTGTGTGCTGGCTTCACTGAGAGGTCATCCTCTTCATCATGTTCCTTCTGGCTCAAGAAGTCGCTCAGAACCTTCTTGAAGACACACGCCAATTCCCAGGGCATAATGTTGTTAGTAGCAAGCACCTCACGAAACCTGTGGAAAACAATACAATTAATGAAACACTTGTTAAAGGCAAAAAGAAAATCCACAGTGGGATTACTAGGGTTTGTTCATCAAGGTTAGCTGTAGGTGGCACCATTTCTGAATTAATACAAACTGCAGAAAAAGAGACTCAACAAAATAACTTGTTAAGCGCCAATCAGACCCTAAACTGTGTACTAGGGATGTCCCGATCACCTTTTTTTGCTCCCGATCCGATTCCGATCATTTGATTTTGACAATCTGCCGATACCGATTTTTCCCGATCCGATCTTTATGCAATGCATTAAGAGAAAAAAAAGGTAACAGATAACGGCTGGTCATCCAACGCGATTAATTCAGCTATCTTGGCTGTTATTTTTTTGGCCTTTTCACTGTTCTGGGGCAGTTTCTCTTTCCTTTTAAAAGTCTCTGAAAGTGTCGGTTGTTTCAGTGCCGTTACCTGAGTGGCCGCTGTGTACTCGTCGTGTTGTTGTTGGTGTTTGTTTCTCAGGTGGCGTATTAGATTGGTCGTGTTGAACGTAGCTCTGTTCTTTCCACCACGCGGAACCTCCGCCTTGCAAACATTGCATCTGGCTGTTACACTGCCTTCGCTTTCAATTTTATAATACTTCCAAACTCCTGACATTTTCTCTGTCCCGACTCCCGAGGCATCAGCTGAACGTAGCCTCTCGTTAGCTTACTGCTACTATTAGACACTGCGCCCTGCCCACTCTGTTGCCAGATTTGAGAGAAATAAGCAACCAGAGGCCTGTACTACGAAGCTGGATTTTCGCTTAGCCGGCTAAATTCAGGGAAATCTCGGGCTTTCCGGTCCTACGACGCTGGTTCTCTTTTTAGCAGGCTAGATTTCCATGGTAACTTATGCTGAGCGGCAAACCTGCTCCGGAGCAGGTTAGGTGGCAGGCTAAGAGATCAACTCAGTGAAAGCACCGCCTGCTGACCAATCAGAGCTCCGTGTGTGGAGTTTAAAGCGATCAATTCATATTACAGGATAGAGGAAATACAGAAAAACTGCCGTTGCAGGAAAGACTGCCGGCCAAAATCAACTGACTGTGTGAACGTGAAAATTAATAGAATATCCCCTCCCATCTTCAGAGCAATCTGACTATTATAACATTAGCGTTAAGAAAGCTTACTTAAATATCTGCCACGACATAAGTAACCGGATCAGAGTAACATTAAGTACAGTCCGCGGCACTGTGAGTGCAGACGTAGATGTGTCCCATTATCATTCATATCATATCACATCATAATGTATCATATATTTCCTTATCTGAGTCAGCTGAGCCGTATCTGGCCGTGCAACACTCAGTGTCACATACTGTATGCAGAAGTATTCTTTTAAGCAACACATTAAGTTGACGAAACACTCGAGTCAAATGTAATTAAAGTCAGATCCACTCGTGTCTTGGACGGGGCAGTGATTTCATAAACCTGTTAATGTACGCATTCAAACACTTTTTCTTTTACCAGCTGTATTCACCTTGCAGGTGCAGCTATGTGGCTTTTATCCTGGATAAAGTGTTTAAGTCATGGATGTTTAAAGTTTAACTTCTTCATATTTGACTAATATTAAAGTTCACTTTTCATTCAGGAAGTATGACGCTGCGCTGTCAGTACGCTTCTCCGTGTTTGAGATTGGTCGAATGCTCCAAATACCACCCCTTTCATGTGAACGCGCACCTAACTAGATAGGACACGGCTGGCTTGAGTGATCCACTTGATAACCAGCGTCGTAGTACAGCTTAGCGCCAGCGCGTATGTTTTGGCTTAGGCCAACCGGCTAACTCCAACATATCCAGGTTAGGTTGAACCAGCTTCGTAGTACAGGCCTCAGGTCTATGAAAACAAGCCCAAAAGAAGCAACACATACATGATGTTGTGTAATTTTAAACCAAAACTAAGGCCTCAGGATGACTTTAAGACGTGAACATGGTCATTTTTGTTTTGTAACATTAAATAAATTATAAAAAAGAAAAAATCCCGATCCCCGATTTTTTTCTCCCGATTCCGATCTTTTGAAAATCACGTGATCGGCTCCGATCCCCGATCACGTGATCGGATCGGGACATCTCTACTGTGTACACAATGTAGAAAACTGGAAATATTACATTTTTATTTTATGTGTTGATGTGAGGAAACGTACTTAAGATCTTTGTGGATCAATGTGGAGACCGTTTTAATCTGATATTTTACATATTTCAGTGGGGAAGATACTTTATTTTACGCTGAAGTCACACTCTTCACGTATGTCATAATTTATTCATAAATTGAAAATGTGCATTAAAAAAGTGGTACACATTTTATGTTCCACATTTTCTATTGGATCTAATATTATATAATTTGACCAGGAGTCTCATGTTTTCACAAATTATATTACTAGGACAACAGCACAGCTTTTTCTTGACAAACATTATTCCACATTTCTTCCTAAATGTGTGATTCTTTGGTAAAGTGGTTAAGCAAGCACTCTGTAGTGAATGTAATGGGAAATGAATAAGTAGGTCACAGTGTTCAACCATGTGGAACAATATTTTTGATATCATTATGGCTAACGGAGATAATGAGTGGCAGTCTGTCTCCAGTCAGGCTAACAGGGCATCCTTCACCTTCACATGTTCACACCATACTTCGCCTGCCTCTGTGACAGTAACACATAATGGCTTTCTTGGCAGCCTGCCCTGCCTCCCTTTCCCTTTGGGCCTTTACTGCTTTGCCTGCTGTCAAGCCTTGTGTTGATGCAGAAGCAGCTAGCCACTGTTGACCACATGCTAATGTGAGGACAATGCATTGCAAGGCCTGTACAAGCACCTGGAGAGCACAGTGGCTGCGTGGATGGGTGGGATCTGGGCACACAGAAACTCCAGCTGGTGTAACTCTGATGTGGGGATGAGGGTCCGTAACCTGGGGTATTTCTGAAACCAATGGAGACCCAGGGCGCTGTGGGACAACCTGTGCTCGCGCTCCAGCTCCCTTGCCAGATGTTCACGTTCCTCCACATGCCAAAGGAGCTCTCTGATCAACATGCGACTGGGTACGACCCCCGACACTTCATCCTGAGCCTGCACCCTCGATTCATTGGACCATTTCATCCAGCCGAACAGGGGCATGGCAGTCACTGGAGGTTGTCCTGAAAAACTGGGGAAACAAAACGTTTTTGTTGGCTTCCCCACAGCACTAAACTCATTTTCAATATACTGGAATATGTTTCTGCAAATGTAAGTGCTAATTTCTCTAAATTACACTTACAAATAAAAAGACAACATCTGACTTTATGAAAAAGTGAGGCAGGTAGCAAAACAATTAGAGTGAAAAGTGGAAAAACATATAATGTCCAAAAAAGTTAAAATCTACATTTTATTTCTTGGAAAAATAAATAAATGTATCCAATACTATTTCTGATGTCTTGCACTTTAAACTTCAAAAAGTATACAATGAGAAATGTGTGAGAATATCGCAACATAACTTTTTTGAGTAAGGCAATTTTAATTCTTACTGTGTAGCCCTATTATAATAAAAACAAAATAAGGTTGAAAGTGTAAGATGACCACCCCGTTGCCAAGCTGTTCCCTGCCTGAAGGGTGCTCTGATTGCTTTCTTTTGAAGTCAAATTTGAAAAAGGAAAATGTCCCAGGTGTGTGCATTCAGCTTTTCTTCTCAGACTGATAGATCCAATACAGCTAACCACCTGGGATTCAGATGGCTCAAACTGCCTGCAGGGTCAGAGGTCAGCCTCAATGAATACAATGTCTATAAGCAGCATTTTATTTCAGAACGTAAAGAGTTGTCAGTCTTCCAGCATGTACAAGAAGCAATTTTCAAATTAATATAATTTAAAGCATTTAAAAGAAAATATCTATACTTACAAGTGAGAACTGGACCGCTGACGCTTTTATGAAATGTTCAGAAATTGGCCGAAGATGAGCTTTTCACAGAGTACTGCCTGCAGCTCGTTGTCTCCATGGGTCAGTCCATGTGAACTAAATTCCTTCACTCGCTGCCAACTATGTACCGTGGTGTCAAATGCCATCAAAGAAGCACATCACTTGTGTGTCGGCAGAAATCCTTCAATGTCTTGGTTGTTGTAAGCAGTTTCCTTTTCGTGTTATTGTCTTGTCCCTATCGTACCTCCCACTGCTCCTGTCAAGCAGACTTTTTTCCAGGAGAGTTTTAGTCACACACTGCTAACTGACTAAGAGCTGTCACCTCTCCTCTCCTTTCCCTCCACTCTCCTCTGTGCTGTGTGCAGTTTTGTTGTAAGGTCAGCTGCTTTGTAGCTTGCACGAAATGTGTGCATTGGAGAGAAAGGAAGAGGACACGAGTGCATGTGTGTGCACAAGCCGTGGGGGTTTTGTATTTGAGCTCCTCTTAGTACTGTCAGGGTTTGTGCCTGCTGTTGCGATAAAGTCCTCCCCCCACTACAATACAGTGTGAGGCAGAGACAACTGGGAATGCTCTCTGGGCTCCAGTGCTGTGGCCCCGGTCGAGCTGACCAGAGGGAAAGACGAGCGAGGGCAGAGATTAAAATGAGCAAACTTTAAAATGTGACCAAGTAAGGGGAAGGTTAGAGCTTTACCCCCCTTACCCACTGTGAACCTACATTTTAAGTTTACTTTTAATGATGACCTGCTTATTACTCAAATTAGTGATTATTAAAACATCTTCATATCTGATATTTGCTTTTGTTAACTGTGCCTGTATGGCAAACCGCTTTAATTGCTGCACTACTTAGCATTTGCATCAACAAAAGTAACTACTGATATCACAGCTGGCACATTCTAGCATATGCACAGCGCTACACATTATTACATTCAGACATAACACGGCACCAATGTTTGTGTTCTCTAATTTTTTGTTTCAGTCCATCAAACGTTCCTGATGAAGGCAGCCTGCAAAATGGAAACTCTAATGGAGGCCGGTTCCTGAGACCAGAACATGCAGGGGGTAAGTATTTAACTTACTTCGATTTTTTTCATACTCGCTTTCACTGCTACATATACAAGAACCTGCGTTTTGCCCTAAACTGTTTAACTCTGTTTGCTGCAAACTCGCTTCTGTATCCTTAGGTACGGCTACTCCTCCACTTGCCAGCTACGAGTACCCAAGCTTGCCCATAACCAAAAACAGACAGAAGGTATAATGTACCATTCATACAACACATACCCGCAACCCTATAGCCTGATGGTCTGAAAGTACACTCTCGTTCTCCTGTATTATTTTCTCTTTTTGTTCTGTTGGGAGTGTACTGAAATGAATTAAAGTCCTCAGGACATTGGTGCACTTACTGGAGCTATTACTGTTTTCTCAAGATGAACTCAATGTCATTTAATGTTGCAGAACAGCTAACTTAAAATTCACTCGTTTAAATGTTTTTTCTGTGTCGTTCAAGCTGTCATTTGTCTCCTTAATGCAAATTATAAAGTGTTGACTGTCTGTAACTAATCAGCTTAGCACACCCATCTGCTCTACAATTTCATTTCAACTTGTTTTTGAAATGTGCGTGTGTGTTTGCTTCCAGCTGACTTCCCTCATAGAAAACAACTCTGTGGTGATCATACGAGGAGCCACAGGCAGTGGCAAGACCACCCAGGTGCCACAGTTCATTCTGGACCACTACTACAACAGAAATTCTGCCTGCAACATTGTGGTCACCCAACCACGCAAGATTGGTGCCACCAGTATTGCCCGATGGGTAGCCAAACAACGGAAGTGTACCCTGGGTAGTCTGGTTGGATATCAGGTTAGTGCAACTTTTAAACAGAATCAGATTCACTTAAACTGTGCCATACACCATACATACATGTCATGAACCTCAACATAACACCCTACTAAAATTCAGTTTTAATTAAAAAAAAAGGTGAAAAAAGAAAGGATTTAATACCTGGACAAAAGCACTCATTGGACCTCTTTCAAAACTAAAAGAGAGTTTTAGAATGCTTATGTTAACAAGCCCGTTTTGCATTGTTGCCAGGATGTCTGGCTGTGTTATACAGAGCTCTGAAACAGCATGTTTAATAATAACTGTTGTAGACTTTGGAGCATTGTTAACTTGGTGTTAGTAAGAGGTATCATTTTCCAGACATTGTCCTTAAAGCAAATATATATTTGCTTTAATCAAAAACATCTTCCATGTTCCCTTTTCCTATTTTCTTTTGCGAAAGTCCTGCAGTCACTGAATGTAAAGTTCTGTTGGCAAACAAAAAAGTATTTTCCTAAGGTCATGCACAGAGTAACACTCACTGGTAATTTTCCAACAACAACCAAAATGATGGCATTGTCGATATATATTTTTCAAAATCATGGAAAAAGTTGAAGCCTAAGCTACTATAGTGGAAGCATACTATGGCTTCTCCTGTTCCTCTTCTCAAGCAGTAGATTACAACAGTGCATGAACATTGTACAAAACACCAAAAGGTGATGGTATTTCACTGCACTGAGCTAATGTTTTCTGATGATGCAATACAAGTATCCATAATGATTTACAGTTTTATAAATTACATTTGTTATATTTGTTTTTCAGGTTGGACTGGAAAAGATGGCTACTGAGCACACCCGGCTCATCTACATGACTACAGGAGTGCTGCTGCAAAAGCTGGTTGTAGCCAAATGCCTCACAGAGTTCTCCCACATCTTTGTCGACGAGGTGCTTAAATATATTGTTTTTGTAATTATGGTTCTGTCACATTATTTAATTTGGTTTTCCCATTCTAGTGAAAGCACTATCTCAGGAACACCGTGAGAGGATTTCTTCAAATGTTGCACAAATCTTCCCTTGGGCTCAAATTTGAACTAATTAATGAACCAATAAGAATGTGGGTGTCCAAAAATTGAGGTCACCAAGACCTCACAAAACACCATCAATCAAGAAACCACTTAATGACACTTTCACACATATTTAATAGGATAAAAGTATGAAGTGATTACATTTAGGACAGACATAGATTTTCACTTCAATTTGACTTTTTGGCACGCAACCCTTTCCAAGCGGTAACTCTAGTTTTTAGTTAATGATAAAAATGCAATTCCCTCATGATGCACCATGTTTAGTTCAAGTTTACCTCTCTATTTAGTGTCCCTTAGTTTTCAATGTTCTTTTGATGGTTTTTGGTTCTGCTGTGGTTTCATCAATATTATGTTTCCGTTAAGTTTCAGGTTTCATTAGTTCTATTATATATTCATTGATCCTTGACAGTTTGGTGCAAATTGAGCCATTTAACTACTCTGCCTTTGCCCAAGGTTCATGAGCGCACTGAGGATATGGACTTTCTCCTGCTGGTTTTGAGAAAACTCCTTCATTCCAACTCTTGTTATGTCAAGGTAATTTCAAGATCAAGTTAAATCCCCCTTTCTGTCCTCTTTTTTTCCCATTCAACCATCATAGGCCCTGTGCTTTTTTCAGATCATCCTCATGTCAGCCACCATTAACTGCAAACAGTTTGCTGACTACTTTGGCACCCCAATTCGTGGCAAAATGAACCCGGCCTACGTGTTTGAGGTGGAGGGGGCACCATACGCCATTGAGGAGTTTTATCGGGATGACCTTGAACGACTGTTTCAATACAGGGTAGGAAGATGGGAAATGTTTGCAGATGCTAGCGTTATCATTATTGACGGCGTGTAGTTGATGAGAGAATTTTGTGTCTGTATCAGGTAAATGAGTCGACAAATTTGGATGACCCTTACATTTCAGTGGAGATGTACGATCTTGCCATCAGTCTCATCCAGAGCTTTGATGAGTTGGAGGGCAAAGGTTCCAGGTAAAGCCAAAATATTTTGTCACACCTGACAGCTTTAAAAATCGGGAGACACAGAAAGTAAAAATCTTGTTTGTTTGAGCAGCACAGCAGAGAACAAAGGGAAGATGACTTCCTCAGAGCGGGGCAGTGTGTTGGTGTTTCTCCCTGGTTTAGCTGAGATAAGCTACATGCAGGAGGCCTTAGCCAAGCTGGTCCACAAAAGGTGAGCTATGATTATGTTTAATCTGTCTCTGTAGCTAATACAGGGATGCAAACTTGTCACCTTTCAGCGAAATTCCAAAATAGGTAGTTTGTGTGATTCGTGTAGATCTGCAATACAAATATTGTTGGGATATGGGGGGGGGGGGGGTCTGGGACCCGAAGTAATCTGTGGCTGCGAGCTGTTATGTGCCATCATGACGCGCATGGTGTTATGTTTTAATTAGGGCTGTCAGTCGATTAAAATATTTAATCGCGATTAATCGCATGATTGTCCATAGTTAATCGCAAATTAATCGCACATTTTTTATCTGTTCTAAATGTACCTTAGAGGGATATTTTTCAAGTTTTTAATACTCTTATCAACATGAGTGGACAACTATGCTTTATATGTTTGTTTATTATCATTTGAACAATGACAAATATTCTCATGAATATTAAACACAACAACCTGAACATTACAAATATTCGCCTCAATTCAACCTAGAACCTCTCTCATACAATAGTGTGTGTGTGTGTGTGTGTGTGTGTGTGTGTGTGTGTGTGTGTGTGTGTGTGTGTGTGTGTGTGTGTGTGTGTGTGTGGTGTTGTGTGTGTGTGTGTGTGTGTGTGTGTGTGTGTGTGTGTGTGTGTGTGTGTGTGTGTGTGTGTGTGTGTGTGTGTGTGTGTGTGTGTGTGTGTGGTGTGTGTGTGTGTGTGTGGTGTGTGTGTGTGTGTGTGTGTGGTGTGTGTGTGTGTGTGTGTGTGGTGTGTGTGTGTGTGTGTGTGTGTGTGTGTGTGTGGGTGTGTGTGTGTGTGTGTGTGTGTGTGTGTGTGTGTGATCGTTGGAGCTATGTGCAGCTCAAGGCATATATGCCTGTGTGTATGAGCTGTGTTGCGGCACTATCCGTGCTGAGTGTGCTGTCTGGCTACCTGCATAAAGTCAAGTGCTCGGCGCAGTTGTCGGCGAAATGTCGCTCCTCTGTTTTCATTGAAACAGCTCCTTATATCCGTTAGCTCAGCTAGCTAGCACCAGATGCTAACAACAACACGTAAGGTGTGCTTCGCTCGCGCCACACATACACACACCCTCCCGGTCCTCCCGATGGCCAGTCCGGGCCTGCCGGTGAGCGTGGAAGTGTGGTCTGCCACAAGCGGGCAGCAGGAGCGGGGCTGTCAGCATCAGCTTGTAGATGGTATTTTAAACTCGATGCGCTCTGAAACTACGGCGGCCGAGGACAAAAAATACACATGCGTTAATCGCGTTAAAATAATTAGTGGCGTTAATTTTTTTTTGCGTTAACGCGTTAACGCGTTAACTTGACAGCCCTAGTTTTAATATATTAGAATGAAGCGCAAGCTGTGTGCTCGAGTCCTCCTGTCTGTCGGCTGAACTCTGCTGCTCCGCATGAGGGTCTAACTTCAGCAGCTACATTACCTACGGGTGCGTTCGTTAACAGTAAGTGTGCGGTCCGGAGTCACTGCGGCACTGTGGCACAGACTGGACCGCTGGTGAACAGCTGTTAGAACGGGCTGTTCAGGTGTGGCAGAGCGTGAAAAAGTTTTTCTGTCGCAATATTATTTAAGGAATCGTTGAGCTAGCTAACGAGCATACATTGTCACTATCTGCAAACGTTAGCTTTAGCCTTCGTTTTCTAATAGTTTTTTTCATAGGCTATAAACAGAGGTCGTATAAGTATAGATATTGTACTAGAGTAAAAGTAGACATACTCTGATCTTGTACTTTAGTAAAAGTAGAATTACTCAGATCTTGTACTAGACTAAAAGTAGAAGTACACAAATCTTGTACTTGAGTTAAAGTAGCAGTACCAGAGTGTAGGAATACTCTGTTACAAGTAAAAGTCCTGCAATCAAAATGTTACTCAAGCAAAAGTATTATTATGAAAATGTACTTAAAGTAGCGAAAGTAAAAGTAGTCATTGTGCAGATTGGTCCATTTCAGAATAATATATATGATATGTTTTATAATGATTGATCATTAATGTGTTATCAAAGCTGGTAAAGGTGCAGCTAGTTTGAATGACTGTATACTGCAGGGTAGCTTGTGAATTTACTCCAGGTGGAACTAAAGTCTGATTTAAGACTTGATTATATTTCACATTATTAATCCAGATCTGCAAAGTAACTAAAGGTATTAAATACATGTAGTGGAGTAAAAGTACACCATTTACCTCTGAACTGTAGTGGAGTAGAAGTACTAAGTAGCAAAACATTGAAATACTTAAGTATAGTACAAGTATCTCAAAATTGTACCCAAGTATAGTACTAAATATGGAGTGTGGACTGCTACTTGGAGAGGTCCCAGTTCACCTCCTGGGCCCTGCCGTGATGCCCTTGAGCAATGCACCGGACACCCTCCCATAACGTTTCTGTTATTACCACTGCTGCTTCAGTTGTTCTGACTGCTAAAATCTTCAGTTATTCCTCATTTTAAAGCCGATATTCCGTGGGGTGGGGTCGGGGGGCTCGGATCCTTAGCCGCTTTCACACCAAGTACTTTGCCGTACTTAGTGCCCCGGCACTTATTACCCCAGGGCACTAAGTACCAATCGTGTTCACACCGGAGTACTTTTCCCTGAGGGAAGATTACGCAAATGAGCCGCTGACGTCACTTTGTCTTCTTCTATTTGGGTTTACTGGCAGGCCGCAAACCACTTCACGGCGTATACTGCCACCCGAAGTCCCCGGCCGGAAGTCCCCGGAGTTGGGGACTGGCTAAATCGCCAGAACGCCAACACCTCCTCATCACTCCACCGCTCCTATGTTTTTTTTTGTGTTGCCATAAGTTATTCTCTCTCCGTTGGTGCGCGGGGCTAATGCTAATGCTAATAATGCTAAAGCACTTTGAATTGTCGCGTACAGAAAAGTGCTATATAAATAAACTTGCCTTGCCTTGCCTTGCCTTGCCTTGCCTTGCCTTGCCTAATGCCAGCAAATACAATGGCGGCTTCAAAAAACGTTTCAGAGTTTTACGGGGCGTGGTTTGCAATTTGCCCAGCCAATAGAAATTGGTACTTTTTTGGCACCTCTCTAGCAGGCACTGAAAATGGGGGTAAAAGTTCCCGGCACTAAGTACTCTTTTTGGTGTGAACGCGACATCAGGGGTACTAACGGAACTAAACGGGAAAAGTACGGGGTAAAAGTACTCCGGTGTGAACGTGCCTCTTGTCTCCTTTTTCATACCTGATGAGTTTGCATACCTGTAATACCTATTGCTTTTGTCTCGTTAACTTTTTATACTTTCTATTTGTGATGAACCTTTACTCTTCCAATGAATGACTTTCTCTTCAGATTGCAGGTTTATCCTCTGCACTCCTCTGTGACTCTAGAGGAGCAGAACGGCGTGTTTCTGCCCCCTGTCCCTGGATACAGAAAGGTAAGAAAAAAAACATTTACCTTATTGGTCTTATGTGTTTCTGGTAAGTGCCAGCCCAATGATCTCTTCATCTTTACAGGTCATCCTTTCCACCAACATTGCTGAGAGTTCGGTGACTGTCCCAGATGTCAAATACGGTGAGTTTTCTTGTCTTCAACTAGGATTTATGTATTGGCTGAATGTGTGATTAATAACAATAATATCTCAAATGTGATTGCTGCGTTTTATTTGTCATCACAGTGATTGATTTCTGCCTGGCCCGTCACATGGTCTGCGATCAAGATACCAACTATCAGTCTCTGCGCCTCACCTGGGCATCCAAAACCAACTGCAACCAGCGTCGGGGTACAATACCTACAGCTCAGAAGTTTCCCTATCATTTCTGTCCTTCAACACTTTGAACTCTTTCCTCTCTCTGTCAGGTAGGGCAGGTCGAGTGTCAAAGGGCTTCTGCTACCGCCTTGTGACCAAAGAGTTCTGGAAGAATGAAATCCCAGACTACATGATCCCTGAGATGCTGGTAAGAGAATGTACACATGACCAGAGTTTTTTTATTCTTTATTTGATTTGACCCCTATAAGACAGCTAATCTGCGCTACTCTTTGCCTTATTCTCAGCTCGCCCCGCTGTCCAACATCATGCTGAAGGTGAAGCTGCTGGACATGGGAAATCCCCGCTACATCCTCTCCAAGGCACTCTCACCCCCCAACCTTGGTGACATAGTGAGGACAGTGCTGCAGCTCAAAGAGGTCAATACATGCAGATTTATCATTCTTCTCTTAGAGAGCCATTACTGTTAAGTCAAGTACTTATGAATATGTGGCTGTAAGGATGTATTGGAGCGAGCAGCTGACCACCCAGCTCTGTCACACAGTATTAGACCAGGAGTTCTCTCTGACGGGAGCTTTGTGTCAGCCAGAGTCTGCATAAATATGTAAGGTGAGAGTAATGAAGGGCAGTGCTGTGTCAGTGTACTGTCTTTCAAAATTAGTTAACAAAAAAATCAAAATCAGTGACAGACAAACGTAGATAAAAGTTGTTTTGATCAAAAAAGGTTTCAAATGTATTTATCAAAAGAGGTAACTTTAAAATATGTTATTGTATTTGAACATAACCTGATATTCTTGTACAAGGAGCTTGGACAAGCCTCAAAACTGCCAACCTTAGTCCTCGTCATTTCAAAACTGTTGGACCATCTCTTTCTGACAATCTGAGGCTAGACAACCTGCAATTTGGCAAATGTAAAACCATGAAGTGTGATTAATATAGCAAGTCAACTTTACAACGCATTCTAAAACAAAAAAAGTATCAGCCTTTTTTATGTCTAAATCCAAGCAAAGGACAAACTATTATTCTGAGATGAGGTTTTCGTGGTTGATTGGAGGTATAAATAATATAGCTGGGTGTTTCCCTCTCTAGATTGGTGCACTATCTGCGAAAAGTGATGGCACGGGTCAAAATGACGATGGCGAGCTAACGTTCCTGGGCCGAGTGCTGGCCCACCTGCCTGTGGACCTGTGCCTGGGGAAGATGATTGTCCTGGGACACATCTTCGGCTGCCTGGACGAGTGCCTCATCATAGGTCAGTCTGTTATTATGCTATTGGAAGAGACCTCCGTTTTGGCAAATGCACGTCATGACAGTAATCTTGCTAATGGGTTTGTGAACATAACAACAAACCATCAATAATGAGGTTATGCTTTTTCATGGGCTGTTTGCAATAACAACAATAACTTCTCTTATGCTCAGCTGCCTCACACTCTCAGAAGAGTTTCTTTGCCATACCATCCATGCAGCAGCTGGCCGGCCACAGGTGAGTCACATCCATCAGCTGAGTCACTGACTGCCAGTCTGTCAGTCTGGATCACTTTCATGTTCCACCAAAGTGGCATTAAGTATTTTTCAACTCTATTAGTCCCATATTTTCTTGTCTAATGGGGACAACAAAGGCAATGAAAGTTGTCTGACAACATTATAGAAAATAAATATTTTCTTAAAACCTGCTTTTCACAGCTGAATGTTTTGGCAAATCGGAGCACAAACATACTGTATGTTCTTGCAGTTCCCGTGTAGATGCCTACAAGGCCCAGGCTGCAGACCTGTAACATGTTTTCATCAATCTCCTTACAGTCTGCAAACAGATATTTGCTCTGTGTAATGTATGTTTTTCTTTTCTGAACAATGAATAATATTTGTTATTCTAGGAGCAAGTTGGCCTTTGCTCGTGGCGCGCAAAGTGATTCTATAAGTTTCGTCAATGTCTTCAAGGTAATGTGCTAGCAGCAGGTCCAACCACGTTCAATGGATTTACATATTTGCCTGATGGCTGCTGTTTATAAAACCCTTTCCTGTTTTTTCTTTCTGTCAGGCATGGTACTCAGCCAAAAAGAAAGGACAGCTGAGACATCCAAAGGTAAAGAAAACAACACCAAACATCAGCTCTGAATCAACAAACACGGAACAAAAGACGCTAGTTTATTTTCCTTTTGTGCTACTGTTGTACAGAGCCAACCTTTGACACTAAGTCAATCATCCTAAATGATTTTAAAGATTAGTATCGTCGTACAGTTAATTGCCCTGACCTATTTAGTAATACATATACATAGCACTGTACAAATGAACCTTATCACGCTTCAGCTGACAGTACTGCTAAACGCTGTGTGAGTGTTGTCTCTTTTAAGATGGTTAATTCAATTTCACCTCAGTTTGACAAAAGCCTATGTTAACATTTCAACTATTTACTCAAGCTTTTATTTTGGCTGTAAGAATCAGTGGCGCACTCTCTTTTGTTCTGTGTTTATCCTTGAAGTTAATGTTTTCTTTGCCCCTGCTACTTCTACTTAGGACGAGCTGGACTGGGGAAAGGAGAACTTCATTCAGATCAAGAGGATCAGGGAGGTACAGAGATCAGGCCGAGAGATGGGTCATATTACAGGAAGTCTTTGTCATCACCATCACATTTTTGTGACTGTTTTTGTTTGGTACAGTCAGACTGTAAATATAAAATCAAACAAGGAAGGCATTATTGACAGATGATACTTGGTGTATACATTCCATGTCAGATCAGTTAATAATGCCTTTTGGTGCACAGTTGACTGTTTAACGTGTCAACTTCCAGTCTGAAGGAATTTATATTTAAAAATGGAGCTGTGTAATGTGGCGCAGACCTCCTCAGAAGTAATTCACTGTCCAGGTTGCGGAGCTGTACGAGGACCTGAAGAAGCGTGTCTCCCAGTTCAACATGCATGTGCCGGAGAGCCCTCAAACCTTGGATTACACCAGCGCACACAGGCAGAAGTTCATTCTTCAGGTAAGAGTCAGTGATACCCATTGTATGAATCCTCTTTGCTAATGTGCAAAGAACACTTATCACCTGGCTTTTGTCTGCAGTGGGAAAGTGTACAATCGCCATTCATTCCAGGTACCGATAACTCTGCAGAGGTGATGAGTCTTTATCGACTCCAGTTCATATTGACAGTCGGGTGCACTGGCTTACTTTCTCCCCCTTCTCCCATGTAGTATTCATCTACAACTCAATATCAGTTTGTTTTAGGTTGCACTTCTCTTTTTCTTAGGTGGTCATTGCTGGTGCCCACTACCCTCACTACTTTGTCCAGGGAGAAATAGATGAAGACCTGGCCTCCAGAGAGTTGAGTGGTTTCAACCCCAGAACAACAGTGATGGTACGACCCATAGTGTTAAAAGTGTTAAAATAATAGTTTTCTGTTCTAAACTATATTATAATTGTTATCAACTGACTCCTTTTTTGGTGTGTTATCACTATCAAATCCCTTATGGCTTTTTTATGTTTGTTGTTTTTTAGCCTTATTATGTGGGAAAATTGGATAAACTAACACCCGACTTCCTGTTGTTTTTAGGTGAGGAACCTCCCTTCATACTCTTTCCTGTACTACAAGCAGCTGCAGTCTCTGTTCCGCCTGTGTGGACAGGTCAAAGCCATTTCCTTTGACTGCTCCAAGTAATAAAAGCCACTATAGCAAATCAGACATTATCGACTCATCTTTTCAAAGAAACATTGAAATATGCATGGTCATTATTCCTATGTTTGTTTTCTCAGAGCATATGTGGAGTTCTACAGGACGTCCCAAGACTCGGGGGTGCTGCCTGAGGTGTCTCTGGCCCTCCTCCTGGCACAGCAGAGTGCTCCCTTGGAGCTGTCTGTCTTCCCCATCGAACAAATAGAGATCTTGGCTGAGGGTAGAAACATAACTCACATGAAAGCTGCACGGTAAGGCACTATTCAAACATTAAACAAGTCTTTCTGTATGCGAGTGAAATCAGTTGCTGCAAGAGCAGAGATGTTTTACTGTCTGTATTTTGCGGCTGAAAAGTCAGTGCCACTGCATTGGTCACTGCCCCTGTGCTGAGCCTTAATATAATGTGACATCCTCACACTCTGCATGACTCTGCAGCGATCACATGGACTCACAGAGGGGAGGTTTGAGGCAGAGGCAACACCAGCTTCTTCCCATCTCCCCCTGAGAGGGGCTTCACATTATTAGCTATCCAACAATAATACAGCTAACTGAGAACAAGACTGCTGTCATTTCTTTGATGCATGTTCACGACTTGCCATAAAACTCATCAGGATCATTTAGTGTGAGTGGATAATCTTACCAGTGATTTGTTAGAAAGCTTGTTGTTTTCTTATGCTTAATGATCAGATCTGAGTAAATATAATGTTGATCACACTAGTGCACAATAGTTAGGTAGATAGCAAATGTTTACAAAAAGACTTCTGTAAACACAATCCACAACATGCCAGTCTTTTCACTTTAATATTCATAATTACATTTTCATTGTTTGTTCAGGATATCTTTATACCCCAAGCACTGGCCAAGCAAATCTGTGATATATCAGGTTAAACATATCATTAATAAAAAACAAAACTATAAAGTCAATTTCTCTATGTGCTGCTGCTTTGCAGGGTGAATGTCGACTTCCAGAACCAGACTGTCTGCCCGGTGGGAGTGGTTTCTGGGCTCGTTGACCCTGAAAAGTTACCCCCCAACCACTTGTTTGTGGTCAACGTCACAGAGGTTAGTCCTTTACATTGAACTTGGTCAAACAGGTCACCTTTATGAGAGATACCAATTTGTTTTTGTTTTCTTTGTCTTAAACTGAATGAATGAGGGGTGTTGAAATGAATAGTTTCCAAGATGCATCATGATGTAATCGAATCGTGAGACCAGGGAAGACGCACAGCCCTAGAATGAATGTATCCTCTTGTCACTCTGTCTGTGCTTCAGGTGGTGGAGGTGGGTCATTTCTGGGGCTTCCAGGCAGATGAAGCCAGCCTGGCCAAGCAGCGCAGCCTGACGGCAGAGATAAACTCCTGCACGCTGCAGCCTGTGACTGTGTCTCTGTACCCCAACCTGCTGTGCCTGGCTCCCTACTCTGAGACCAATGAGCAGAACATGTACTACCGAGTCAAGATCCTGCACATGCGCGGCACCACAGTGGAGGTGAACGTCACTCACTCGCTGCATCTCTGTGGTCAAGATGTAGTGCACCCATTCATCTTTCTCAAAACAAATCTCCTTTACTTATCCCCTTTCTTACTTTCAATGTTTTAACTCTTTCCCATATGATTATGTCATAGTAGAAGATACCTAATGTTAAGTGATGCTGATCAAGGAACTCAAGCTTATTTTATCTAGAATACTTCATATTTCTGGGTTTTATATTGCCCTTTGTCCAGCGCCCACACCTTTGTGCCACCGAATGTAGACTTGAAATGCCCTGAAAGTTATTTTTACTCTTCATATTCTTACATGCCTAATATTGCCATTGTATAAAAACTGATTAAGTATGGACATTCACACTTTTATATGTTTAATTTACGAAGGAAAATACATCTCTGCCAAATATGAATTATTTAAAACAAAAGCAGAGGGACAGAGTAAATGTATTTTTAATAGAAACAAATAAAAGTCAAACATTTGTCTGTCAGTATTTTGTATTCATGCAGACAAGTAATTAGTATTTTATTTAAAATCTCAAAAACATATAAAGGGCTCGTTGTCACCAGAAATGAAGGCTTGTGACTTTAAAACTGACCTCAGTGTCGACCTTTGAAAGTGTTAAATAGAAGGTAGTGTCTGCAGTATGTGATGGCAGTTTCAGATGTTACTTTAGGTACCAGATTACAGGGTCTGTTGTTGTCCTGCAGGTGTTCTTCTTGGACTTTGGCAACACTGCGGTTGTTTCCTGCAGCGGCCTCAGAGAGCTACCTCCTAATCTTCCACCCATCTTCTACCCATTCCAGGTAGCAATATTACAAGTGGTCAGATCATTTATTCACAATTACCTGTTCCGATGTCCTGGCTGTGAACTAGCAGTAACACACACGAACACACACACACACACTCTGCTCACCGTCTCAGGCTCAGGAGTTCCAAGTTACTGCGATGCGTCCGTCAGCTCAGTCCATCATCCTGGGGAACCAGTGGAGCAGCCGAGCACGCGACCGCTTCATCACGCTGGTGAAGGGCCGCTCGCTCATCGTGTCGCTGTACTCCATCCTGCACGGGGTCATGCGTGTACAGCTGCTCATCGACACAGAGACCTCCAACACCAGCGCTGTGGACGTCTTGGTGGAAGAAGAACATGCCATGAAGGCCGAGGAGAGCTTCGATTCCAAGGTGACACAACAGTTGGGAGCTAAGGTTCTCTCTAATGAAATGTATTAGAAAGCAATGAATCATAACAAGCTCTACTCAAAGACATATCTCAGCTAAACAACGTTTGGGACTATTAACAACTTTCATTCAGACATGCTAGGAGTTTTCATTTTGGCAGCTATTTTTTTCTTTTAGTTTTTGTCAAATTGTCATTTTACTTTGTCATTACTTTTATTAGAAGTAATGTGTCAAATGTCGTTTTTTTAATTTGATTACAGTTGATGGAAGTGTTTTCTCTTTAGAGAGAAAGCAGTTGGTTTAGTCATAAATTAACATCCGTTACATTTCACTGCTCCCACAGTGACACACCTACAAGTGTTCCTCTTTGTACTTGCAGTACTGATTCTTCCCAGCAGATGTTGTGTTTGGACGCTGTGAGCAACGTTGTCATGAAAATAAAAGCATGAATCATTGAGTTAGTTGGGTTTTTAGGACCAACCTAACTGTAAATCACTACGAGAAACCCCAATGTTTCGAGAACCATGCTAGCCACGATACAGAAAGATCCATACAATAGCGTTGTGCCCTTTTCATTTTAGATGTCTTATTTGTGTGTGCTCTTACAGCAAAACCATGAGACAATAATGTCCCTGTACAAAGACATTGAGAGAGGAACGTATGTCCCCAACGCTGCCAGCAGCTCCTGGAAAGATCGCAACAGAGAGGAGAAGGAGATCATTGACGACCTGCTCACCCACTTCTCCAAGGGCCGCCATTCCAAGACCAAGGCAAGATACACTGCACTGCATCATGCAGAATATTTTCAGGATATATTTGCACTAAAATATAAAACATTTTTTTGTATTTCAGGATATATTTGCACCTTTCAAAAACACTATTACAGTCCTTTAGAAATCTAAAGAAAAACAGTAACAATGATTAAAAACAGTTCAATAATTACAATCCATTAAGAGAAATATTTCAGATTAAAATGTTTTTTCAGGAGAGATAAAAAAAAAAAGGACAAAGATGTTTAGTTTCCAAAATGCTGTTTTTTGAGATGATGACGGCATCACTCCTGCAGCGCCTGCAGCTCTCAGTTCGTCCAGCAGATGGAGCCTCCTCAGTGACTCAGTTCCTGTGCTGTGTTCATTCGGGGCACACCCTTTCTGTCCAACAAGCTGAACAATGACAATAGGGAGACTGTCACAATAATCAATGCATAAATACGTCACATGATGTGTCTGACTGCCGCCTCATTTCTACACCACAGGTTCATCTGAACGGTCCATACAGTCCTAATAAGATAAGCTTCTACAGCTTGAGCCACAGAACCAGCTACAAGTAAGCAATTATATGGCGGCCAAATGAATTGAGGGTAGAGATTGGACAATATATGATGTGATATTAGCAACACTCACAATACGAGTAGATGCTGGATAATGTTTATTATTAGGATAATCATGAATAACCTCCCGAGTGACATTAAGCTTGATATCCTGGGTAGAGAAGTGTAAAAAAGGGTCTGATATTTTATTAATGTAGGGTACCATTATGATTTATGATTTATAATTGCAAATATTTTTGCCAGAATAGTTGTGATATGAATCGTATGTGTGTGCGCCTGCAGGACAGTGTGTATTGAGAGAAGCAGCATCAACTCGTTGGCCCTGAATGACAGCCCTCACTACAAACATCAGAGGATGCTGGTGGCTGGGAGTGTGTCAGTCAACGCCACAGGTACCGTATATAGCATTTCACAACAGCTTAAAGCAGGGGTGTCCAAACTACGGCCCGGGGGCCAAATATGGCCCTTAGCTAATTAAAAAAGTATAATGAAGTATGGCCCACAAATGAACTTGTGCTTGTCATATATTGTACTTCTTAAATATATATGTACAAATATATTACACAGTAGTATTCATGTGTTAAAAAGCCCACTTTTCAAATAAATTCTGTCAATTAAAGTTGGGAAAAATGTCAAACAACTCTTAGTTGATTAAAAAAAGCCCAATAACTTATTGCCATAACAAGCTTGAAATCTACCCTTCATATTTCCTCTTTTTGTAAGCAATCTGAAGCTCCTGTTTTAAGGAATGAGCTACTAACGCGTCTTATAACTAAATAAAGTAAACTCTCTAGAGAGCTGGGATTTAGGCTGTTGTGTTTCTTAAAGCATTTGCAAGTATCAAGTATCATTTACCTACATTTGATTCATTTTGCTAATTTATAACTGAACTTATGAGGCAATATACCTCTAGTGAGTGTCCCAGCCCTTCGTATATTTTTCTGTTTGTGGCCCTCAGCGAAAAAAGTTTGGACACCCCTGGCTTAAAGCTCCACTAATCAATATTTTTTAATAATTGTATCGCATGATTATATGAGTCGCCGCTTGACAAACACAAACTATCAACCAAAATCAGCCGACCCTCTCGCTTTTTAGTCTATTTCAACTCATATTTAGAAAATGACTAGCGAAAGTAGCTTATATTTATGATAAACCCACTTTACACTACATGCCTAGCACCGAACAGCAAACCAAGTTAGCAACTAGCTGCTGATCATAATGGAGCAACAGATGGTCGTTTATCTTTTTCGTATGTATGAATATTAGACATGAAGTTGTCTGGTCTCCAAAATAAACATAAACGCTCATGTTGATCTGTTTTGGCTGAATGTGAAAACATGCTTATGTATTTATCAAATCAGCTTTATATATAACCTTATGGTATGACCGCATTTTTTTCATTCTAAATGTCGATGTCAACTGTTGCAGCTTTAAATGGTTGTCTGTGTTGCAGGGACACGTATTCTACTGAGAGAAACCACCATGATGCCAGACATCCCCGGACTGCCTGCGCTCCTCACCATGCTCTTCACACCCATCATGGAGCTACGGTAGGTCAGACACAGACTTATTATTGCAGGCCTCATAATCCAAATCCAATGTTTACACCCTCTTCCCCCTTTTATTGGTAGCACTGATGAAGAGCGCACCTGCTACACCGGCGCCCTCTGTGGCTTAGGCTGGCACGGTCAGAAACAGGAGGGCATCCTAGCGGAGCATGACATCGAACTCGCCTTCGATGTCAAATTTGATGTTGAAGACATCACTGAGGTACAGCTGTGTGTTGACTGAGTGGAATGCTAATTGTTTGTTGCTATTTGTTTGTTATTCATTGGTTAAGTGATTAGAACCCATTTATATGTTTTCAAACGGTTTTACTTCATGTTCTGCCACATGATGTAGCATTTTCTTTTTTTTTTATTACTGATTGATAAGCTTTTTTCTTTCTTTTTAAGATAAATGCTTTGCGAGTGGCTGTGAACCGCCTCGTCTGTGAAGGGCCCAATGGCACCATGCATCTGGGGCCCGATAGGATCAGCCAGCTGCAGGAGGACTGCCGGGACCGCCTCATAAGGTCAATCACAGACACCCACAGAAATCAAGTGTGAAGTTCAATCAATGTGAAAGCACGTATTGATCTGTGTTGATGTTATGTAATGCAGGCTGTTCACCAAGTCGCCTCCAAGAGAAGAAGGCCCTCAAGTGTTCTTCGAGAAACCAGAGAAATGGAACCAGGTATGGCACATGACAGAGCTCCTGAATCGAATTGTTTTTGTCCTCTTGTCAGTTTTGTGAGCAGATTTTACCTACTTTTTTTGAAGTGTTTGTTTATTGAACTTTTAGGTGGATCCTGCTCTGAAGATGGACATCGTGGAGCCTGGAGGAGGAAAGACCAGAGGAGTCCTCTTCCAGCTGCATCCTGTCACTCTGCTCAACAGCTGAATAGTCGCTGTGCTCCTTCCATTTGTGTTCAAACAGAACGGATTCCTATGTTTTGTGCTTTTGACAGTTGCCTGGAATTTTTATATATTTATGTTCAGAGGAGTATATATATTTTTTAAGTTCAATTGAGTGTGCCTTTCATCTGCACAGGAAAATCCTCAATCCTTACTGAGTTGGAGTGGTAATCCCCCGTTTAAATACGTGACAAGCTGCTAATAAGAAATGTAAAGCTCATTCACGTGAAAGCTCCTGTATAGCGCTTTGTTACAGCCCTTCAGCAGAGGTCTATTAAAAAGAGTTGTGTGCAACAGATGAGGCTTGTCAATCAATGTTCATTCAAACATAGCCTCATTGTGACCTAAGAGTCAAGTTAAATATATCCACACACACTAAACTCCTACTACGAGGTGAACTAGTGTCTGCGCCAGATTTCATTGGCTGGTATTTTTAACTCATTCCAGGTCTCCTATCCATCCAAAGTGTTATCACATCCAACTTAGCCATGGTGTCACACACACAAACTCATCTTCACCCCCTTGAAGGCCTCTAATGAATGTGAACTCAACAGTAAAGTGGTCAGGAGATGTTTTACATCAAGGTACATTTATTTTTCTTATTCTTGTAATTAAATACATAGTGTAAGTGCAAATAGTTAAAGAGTCCAGGGTCTAAAGAACTACAGAGTATAGTCAAACATAGTACAAAGTTGGACAGTTATTCAAACAAGCTAAATATCACCAGATACTCCTTGTCTTCATAGTAGTTGTACAACAGCACCTTAAACATGAGCGTGTGTCGTTCCTTATGGTTATACAAAAGCAAAAACCCTACGATTACCACATCTAAGACGCATATTGTTAAATTATGTTGTGCTTGGAAACACCAAAGGAAATCATTTTTGCTATTTATATATATATGGACATATACTGAGAAGCCCTGTCTGCTAACTCAGAAACATGAAGCAGTTTTTAACATTGGCATCAGAGCACGTCTGTGGGCATTTAGCTTCTTTTGTGCCAGACCATACAGTTTGCGGTAGGCACTGCAAAGCAAAAATGTAGCGTGATTTTAAAAACTGCACAAAAGATATCAAATATTATTTACCCAAGGCTCGACTTCATGCACTTTAATAATAAGCAACACAAAAAAAGTCAGTTTCTTTTTTTGTTTTCGAGTTGTGTACTTGTCTACCTAGAAACAGGATATGTACGTGTGACTGTTAGTGTTAAGACTGCTATAGACAGGGTGACGGTTTCTCCAGTGGATGCTTTTAGAGAACACCAAGATGACTTAGCACTATGCCCCACAGATGACGACCAGGCTCTTCAACAGTGACCGAGCTGCCTGACTCCGAGCTGACTGTCAGCTTCGTGGTGAGACAGACGCTTCTACTCCTCCTTCCTCTTGGCCCCGGGGATCTTCGCTTGGATCCTACACAAAGAAAACAAGCCTTAATACCACATGTCTAACAAGGTGTTTATTCTAGATTAAGTTTATTAATATACCGCCTGCAGTTTTTGTACTCTCTTTTTATGGTAGTCTATGGAACTGGGTGTCAAGTTTGACTAAAATAGGAACATTGACAGTAGTCAGTCCTTAACAAACTACAGGCATACATTTTGGCATCTGTTAACCCTTTAAAAGCTCATTTTAAGCGAATTGGTTAACACGGTTAAATAATAAACCAGTCCGTGTTTGTATTAAACTGATCACTTTATCCACCATGACAACCTTAGCATCCTGTTAGCATCAGTAGCCTTTTTTTATTTATCGTAAACAGACTTCATAGTGGACACTGTTCATTCATGAAGTGAGTGAAGTACTGTAGGGCAGCACCAAATTTGTAAAATATGAAATAACTTTTAATATCAGTGCAATATTGGAAACCTGGCAGCTTCCGATTACAACTGCACTCTTATCTGCTGGCCAATGAGGGGAGGCGAGTGAAGTCACAAAGGGAAGTCAGTGGTATATTCGATTATTTGTCTCACTTTATTTGTGTACAGGGTGCTCTGATTGATTTCTTATGCCTTGTAGCTACATGTGTTTGTATATCGTAAGTGAAGAAAATGTCTTAATGGCAAACACTCACTTTCCCACCACAGAGTTGACCTGGGTCCGTATTAATCCCACATACTGATCGATCTGTGCCTGAAAACAAAAGGAAAGGGACGAGTGTAAATACAGGACAACATTTTGTTAAATAGGGTTGACTTCAGTTATCATAAAGCTCAAATTCTTACCTGATGCTTCTCATAGACCACAGGCATGGTGAACATGGAGACCACAGCTGTAGAGGCATGGGGAGAGACATGTTAAAGTATTCTGACCTACAGTGGGGCAAGGTGGCCTCCAGCGCACACCCTGACACTTATCTAATGTAAACTGGAAAAGTAAACATAACGCGCACGTTCAGCAGTGCAGTAAACACGTTCAATGAAGTACATTTGATCTGGCATAGTAATAAGGACATGCTGTACTTCTCACTAATGACATATATTGTATAATATAAAATAGCTCTGAAGATTATTAAACTAAGTAACAAAAGGCTAAAAGACGAATGATTGTGTGTGTCGAGATGACCTCACCTAGGATGAGCAGTGTCAGGCCGTTGAAGAGAGCGCCCACGTAGGTCAGCAGCCACATCAGAACAGCAAACTGAAATGAAATACCACATTTATTCTTTGTAAGCTGCATTTCTAATCGTATAAACTACCAGATTGTTTCATGAAACGCATTAATAAAGGGTAGCAGAGCTGATGTAACACTGTGATGCAGTTTGAAGCAAAACTAGCAAGTTTGAGGCAAACCTTCAAGGAGTCGATCAGGTCTTGTACGAGGAACAGCCTGCGGAGCTCCTTCATACAGGTGTTGGAGTACAGCAGGATTTTGTCAGCATATTTACTAATCTGGTCCTGGGAGAGAGCAATTTCCATCTCCAGGTAGGATCTGGGAATAAATACAGGGTTGGGAATATAAACCTTTCAGTGAGTACAATCTATAGACTTATTCATGAAATCCAACAATCTCCTACTCTACTCACTTGAAAGGATGTCCCTCATCAGTCTTCTGCACAGCCTGCAGCACAGACTTGTAGATCCTGAAGCTGATGGAGGCAGAGAGCGCTGCCAGGGCCAAGTAGGCCCCGACGCTGACCATGCTGAACTGGGTCAGGGAGAAGAGGAGCAGGAGCACGCTGCTGAACACGGCCCCCGACTGCTTCACATTCCTCCAGTAGAGGAGGTCAATCGCTGGAAGGACAGAAGAAGGAGAAACAGGGTTAGGACCAGGCGTTACCTGACCTGCAACAAGAAGGCCCGGTTATCCACAGAAGTATCTGTTCCTAAGTGGATTCTGCGCACTACACACCACACATTTGGGTCAAATATCTGGAAGCTCTTCACAACTTGATGTCCTCAGAGATCCTCAGCTGTCACGTGATCCTGATTTAACCCAGCTTCCTAACCTAGCCTTTCATTCGGTTATATCGAGCTGTGAACGTGGCGATAAGTGACAATTTGTCGGTTCAGTTACATTACTCCTATATATAGAGCGACCTCTGAAGAAGATAATAGCTGACTCTCCCTTGTCGAACAAGTGGTGCCTCCCTCCGCTGCAACACTCCGGAAAAGAAAGACCTCTTATTTACGTCTGACGTGTACTTATGGTCGGTGGCATCTGGTCTGGTCTTAAACATACACAAACATCTATGCAACCAGGAAGAAGAAACTGTATTACAGCAGGGTTACTACTGCAGAATTAATGATTGACCTATAGCGCTGTGAAGGCAGTCTCAGACATAGAAGCACTATCAGCAGTTTACAGATAACGGTTCAATGTGACCTACAGCTCTGTGGTCAGTGAGGAAGGATGACAAAGCTTCAATGCAGTGTCTCAGTAATGCAGTGAAATGATCCCGTGTCACTTGTACAGGAACAAAGAGTTAAGCTACACAACATGCCTGCTGCAGGCGCTCACGCGTCTTACTGCACCATTTCCCTTTATATTCTAACATCTTCGTTTTTCTCTGGGTGGCGGGGCCTGTAATTCAAAGCCTCTAACAGAGATGAGAGAGTGAAGTGATAACTGAGGATTAGCCCAGTGTACCATTACAGCCGGTGCTCCTCTGGCATTCGTCTGTGTCGGCTGGAAACATGGGCCCGTTTCCATGAGAACTGTTGGCTGCTGGTTTTACCTCTGTGGAACCAGCAGCCGTATGACAGCACTATCAGTTAACCATTCATGGGTTTTTACCAACACCTGGAAATCCTTTGTGTAGCGTAAGGAGGCGAGGAGAGGCAGTATGTTAATGTAAACTTGTGTGCTCGTGAAGAATAGAGATTCGCAGCTGAGGTCTCTTGGGGTTTTACTCTTCCTCTCTAAGCTGACCGCCTGCCTGTCTAATTTTAGCCGTGGAGCTGTGAGCAGCATAGTGATGACCGCCATCTTTGCTCTCCACTAAAAAGGCATCTATGGATGCCAAAAAGGCTAAAAGCCGGGTGTCAGAAGAGCAGACAATGTGACTAAGAAAATCTCTGCTGCCCACAAACTATCCTCCCTGTACTGTAAAATAACACGTATGATCTGTGTTGTCTTAAGAAAACAATAGTGACTTACAGTACCTATCAACCCCTTGCCCCCCCCCCCCCCCCCCCCCCCCCCCCATCAAATCAAAGACTCATTCAGAAATGGTGAGGCAAAGAAATCCTTATGCTGTACATTCACCACTTCCCACAGATGCCATTGTTTCTGCCATCACTGACAAAATGTCCATGTGATGATCAAACGCTCATGCACGCACACAGGCACACACACACACACGCACACGCACGCACGCACACACACAAAGAAAGTCAGGCACAGGTAGCACACACAGCAGCTGTAAGAACACACAGACACATCGACATCAGACGGCTCTGCTACAGAGACAGGTGTAGGTGCCTGGTGATGTGCTGCAGACTGAGAAAGCTTTATCTAGTGCAGTAGAAGCATGTACTGACCTGCGGCTCCCATGGCTGAACAGGGAAAGAGGCAGCTGCTTTATCCACGGACAAAAGGAGAGCAGTGGAGGGGGAGTCCCCCCTGCACAGGGGAGGAGGGGCCACAGCCACACCAGCAAATCAGCATCGGCCTGCGCAGGGGGACTGAGGAGGGGGGGTGGCGTCTATGGGGTGCGGTTGCCAAAGAATCACATTGCAATCCAGCACACATAACACACACATGCAAACACTGTCTCTCTCTCTGAGCTCTTTTATGCTCAGGCTTTAAAGCGCAGCCCCGCTGACAAAGAATGCCAGCCAGCGACTAAAATAA